TCGTTCTTTATGGAGTTTGCATGTTCTCCCCCTGCATGCCTGGGTTCTCTCCGGGGACTCCAGCTTCCTCCCACAGTCCAAAAACATGATCCCTTTTGAGGTACAATAAACTTACAAACAAACTTAACCTTGCAGACATGAACTTCTGCACACTGGCATTCACTCACGCACTCACCATTCAAACCTGCATTTGCTCTAAAATATACAAAACTCTTTAGATTATGACACAGAAAAATAACAAGACAATATGGAAATAAAAACTGTATTTAAGACATCCATTTAATAAGCTCCGCCTTCAGTCTCTATGATCCTCATATATGGCTCCCTGAGGTTCTCAAAGTCTTGCTTTTTACCCTTGACCATATATATATATCTTTCCAGTCTGAGTGAATTTGCAATTTCTTTTTTCCAGAGTCCCAGGGAGGGGGCGTCCATGCTCATCCAGCATAATGCAATAGATCTTCTGGCTTGAAGAAGTCCATAATCTATCAATTTGGTTTTAGTTTGTGATTGTTTAAATTCCAATGGGTATATTCCTAGAACACAGATTTTAACCTCTAATGGGACTATGAGTGTTTGTTAATTATAGCTTCTCTAGATTTATTTAAACTCTCATGGTGGCATTCAAATCCCTTCACCACCTTGCCCCCTCATATATGTCAGGCCTCCTTTATGTTCCCACCCCCTCCGGTGCTCTTAGAGCCTCGTCGGCTTTATACCTGTCTGTCCCTTCTGCCCGTCTCACCCCCATGGGGAGCAGAGCATTCAGCCGTTCTGCCCCCTGCCTCTGGAACTCTCTACCACCCTAACTTAGAAACATGAACTCACTTCTCCAAAATCATAACTCTGAGGGATTGCCTTCAAGTCAATGAGTCGATGCAATCAACAGTTGCAATCAACTTGGATAGAAAATTTGAATCAATTTGACCGGATGATCTGGTTGAATATTCTCTGTAAAGTGTCTTGAGATGACATGTTGATTATTGGTACTATATAAATAAACTGAATTGAACTAAAAAAAATAATCTGGTTAAGATTGCCTATTCTCTTTAATTTTGATTTCCTTATCCCAGCCTTTGTATTTTACTACTTTTTAAAATGTTTTTTCTTCTGTGTTTTGACTTTGTTTCTGCCATTGTTTTTTTATCTTTTGCGCGGTGACCTTGAGCGTCCAGAAAGGAGCCTTTTAAATAAAAGACATTATTATTATTACATTTTCTTAGGTGTGAGTTTGTGTGCATGGTTGTGTGTCTCTGTGTTGCCCTGCTACAGACTGGCAACCTTTCCAGGGTTTACCCCTCCTCTCGCCTGTAGACTAGCCTCGTGAGACCATCCTGATATCGCGAGCTTTCAAGGTTTCACTCGCAGATCAGTCTGGAGACTCTCCGTTGAAGAAACGTTGGAGCCGTTCATCAAATGAACGTCCAATCAGCGTTGGCTTTGAGGCGGGTTGAGGTGTGACGCAACGAGAAGCGCGACAGTTCAGTCTAAAGAACATGGCGGCTTCAGCCGATGAAACTAGCGTTAGCATGGCTATCGAGCAAGTTTAATCGGAATTACAGAGTATTTCTTCACTGAAAGAAGAGCAAAACACTGCTCTGGAGGCTTTTCTCAGAGGAAAAGATGTTTTTGCTCTTCTCCCGACTGGTTTCAGCAAGAGTTTGATCTATCAATTGGCTCCTCCTCTGCCAGAGATGCGGGCCTCACCGTGACCCTGACAAGGACTAAGCAGGAGAAGATGGATGGATGGATGGATGGATGGATGGATGGATGGATGGATGGATGGATGGATGGATGGATGGATGGATGTCATGGAAAATGCTATTGTATTCTGCAGAAAAACAGACAATGGCAGACGGCAGTAGTACCTAAGAAATAGAAAAGTGATCAAGTGACAGACAGGAAGATGCTGCCCTTCTGCATGGCGACACATTGGTTGATAACGGCACCACTGATGCAGTCAAGGCTAGTTCCTCCAAGTCGAAGAGACGAGGACCGAACGCACCAAGGCTGAGAAAAAGACTGAATCTTTAGAATCAGAATCATATTTTTGGGATGTTTTAATAAAACAATATAAACGATTTAGAAAATATCTTTAAAAAACTGTTCAACTAAAAGTACTCCTAGGTGTTAAATCATCATAAGTTGTTGACTGCAATGTGTGATCGATACACAATCTCTGAAATGAACTCATCACTTTTTGTTGCTTGTTGATAGATTAAAGCAATCAGTGATAAAGTTTTTTTTTAATATGAAATATAAACAATTCCATAGAAAATGAACTCTTTTTCTGTTTCTAAAGTTTTTTTTATTAAAGGTACACTATGCAACCGGTGTTGATTTTCCAGCGAGGCTCCCCCCAGAGGGCGAAAGTAAAAGTGCACTGTCGTAAATATGCTCAGCCGTTCTCCTGGTTTCTCCGTCAAGCCAGGCGCGGTTGTTTTGAGCTTAGCAGCGAATGACTAACGCTGCGTTCACACCGCAGCTGGCGCGACAGAAGCAGCGAGTTTACATGCAAAGTCAATGGTTGACGCGCGTCAAGGCGCAGCAAAAGGTCCCGCGGCGCGTTTTGAGCAGCAGGCGCAGCGCGTCTGAGCAGCTGAAGCAGTGCGTCGGGCGCGTTTAACGCTACGTTCGCTTTTATTATCCTGCTGCCTGCAGTTTGGATTATTTAGATGAAAAACACCTACCAGCTCCCGTGGTGAACCGCGAGGAGGCGACCCGGCCACAGGCTGCTGATGAAGGCAGGATAATAATCTGAATGAACTGACGGCACTGATTACGTTTTCAGGTGTATTTTCTCAATTAAACACATATCAAAACTACTTTATTCCCACTGATCACAGCAAATATAGCTGCAAGGCAGAGAAAGGATAGTGAAGCTCCGCCCAACGCGCGTCAGACACACTTTTGCACCGCGCAGCCAGAGCAGCAAAGCTGCTTGAGCCGCGCGTCAGAACTAACTGGTACAAACAGCAAAAATGAAGCAGCAGACGCGATTTTGCTGCTTTTGCTGCGTCCGGTGTGAACGCAGCGCTGCACAAAGATCGCCACTGTGCTAGCAACGAGCATGCTTTTAACTGGGGGCGTGTAGCAGTTCTTGCCGTAAAGCAAGACTGACTCTCGCGAGACTTCTGAGCCTGTGGGTGCGGGTCGAGGGCTCCTGCAATTGCAAGTGCGGTATTTCCCCCACAGACCACCAGGGCGGCCGAGAAAACCTTTGTTCAACCTGAAATGACTCATTTAATCATCCAAAACTTTATGGAACACATTAATTAACTGAAAAATGTTGCATAGTGTGCCTTTAAAATGTACTTTAAAAAAACAAAGTCAGACATTTTAGATCACGAGAAGATATCAGAACTTATGATTATTAATACAGCTAATATTTAACAATTTTTAAATCTGCAGAAATTTCTCCTTTGCTGGATTGCAAGTGTTTGTTTGATGCAAGCAAACTACTGGTGAACAAGACCAGTGGTGTCTAAAGTTCACACATTTGTTACTTAAGTATTAGTATAGATGCTGCAGTTTAAAACACTCTGGTAAAAGTTGAAGTATCAATTTGACCTCTTTACTCAAGTAAAAGTGAAAAAGTATGTGCTCCAAAAACTACTTAAAATATAAAAGTATAAGTTAACCGTTAAAAAAAAAACAGCCAGATCTCACCATATGAATTCAAAGCTCAATTTTTCGACTATTTCAATAAAATAAAAGTTACTCAACATAGGAAGCAGAGTTTTCTATGTTGAGTAACAGTTTCCCGCAGCTCTTTTCTTGACCCTTCACTTCTTTTCTTATTGCCTACAGTGATAAACGAGGTGAATAACCAATCTGACCAAATCGGACTCGGTGAAAGCCAAGTTCTTGAACCGGAACACCACAGAAGTCGTTCCGGTCCGGTTGTTTTAAAGAGGCTTTCAACGTTGCAACTGTGGCAACGCATTAATGATCTGCATGTAACCAATGATTGATCAAATGAGAAACTTGACAAAAACATGCTGATGAAGATGCTCAGTCATCCAGGTCATAGTCATTCCGTAAAAGTTTAAAAAACAATCCACTGGACTTGGTTTCCAAGATTTGAAGACATTTTCTCTCCAAGATGGAGTCACAGCCAAACAGGAACAGACCAGATGAAGCTACTGTGAGAAAAAGCAGAGAGAGCAGAACATTAGAGATTGAACTAACAGATTCTGCAGAGTGGGAGAATAGAGATAGTATGAAGCAGAATGATGAAAAAGGGGTCCCTATGTCCTCCAGCAGTCTAAGCCTATAGCAGCATAACTGTAGAGATAGCTCAGGTTATCCTGAAGCGAAATGTCTTCAAATCTTGGAAACCAAGTCCAGTGGATTGTTTTTAAACTTTTACTGAATCAACGAAAACATTTCACACTACAAATACTTTGAGTGCTTGGATTATTGATTGATTCTTTTCATGCTTGTTAAAGGATATATGCACAGACACAGATAGATAGATTATCTATGGAGGTGTTAATCAGTGTTGGTAAAGGTATCTCAGTTATGACATATATGCTATGAAATTCACAGCTGAACATTGCAGCTCACTGAATAATATATAGATATGTAATGTAAATACATATATACTGTACATATATATGTAAATAAAAAGCAATTGTACCTTTTACTACTAGATAGAGATAAGAGATCATTACATCTCCTTTCAGGTGTATTGCAGGTGTATTGCTGCTGGATCACTGTTATCTGTGAGTTTTATCAGCAGCCTCACATGTCCTATCTTATACTAACCTGTTCTTATGATATAATCTGTCTCAGTTTGTTTTTTTACAGATGCAGAAACAAACATGAAACAGGAAAGAAAGCATGATAGTTTAACCTGGTAGACTGTCCTCACTAAACCAGACTTTATCATTAGATTGGATGTTCTATGAAAGGTTTTTTAATTGGTGGTTCATGCAGGTCGTAAGAACGGAACAGCAGGACATTTACCTCTGAGCAGACTGACCTTTGATCTTCATAAAAGGGAGGCAGAGGGAAAAGCTCCTTGCTCCTCTGTCAGCTGTAGATTGAACAGACTGCAGAGGCTCTGCTCCATCCTCCACTCTGAGGTACTGTTCTGATTTACTGTTTCACTTTATACCCTTTCTCTTCTTTCAGCCTCATTTTGACTGCAATGCTTTGGTCAGTTTATTGTGGATAAACCTAAGAAGCACAGTGCAGATTATTTATTTTGAGTTGTTAAAGTACATCCCAAGTAAAGTGTATTGGGTTAAAAATTACTAATCTAAACTACAGGTTTTAAACATGTGTTCATGCAGCAGCTAAAAAAACTCCATCTATACCAATTCAATTAAATTAGTTTATTCATGACTATCATGGGTTACTATGATAATTTCAGCCAGAATAATAACTTTTTTCATTTCACTGTATTTCAAGAGTGAGCTCCACTTTTGTTTAAAACAAGCATGTTAGTTCATGGTGCAGCCGTGCAGAAGGTAACATTGATGCTGTTCATTGTTGATTCTGATCTTAAGCCTTTTCGCTCATAGCAGCAATGATGTCCAGATTATTATGTGGAAAAGTCTGGTTTCGTAAATAATTTCAGTTACTCCTTTTAAATGGATTTCTAGAGCACCTTTAAGTTGGCACTATTTTTTCCTTCGGTTCTAGCCTTAGATTTAAAACTGCAGATAGACCGATACAGCTTTTTAAGACCCATGCTCATAGCGATTATGTTGGGATCAGTCTAACTGATCTTGGATATGGATACAGATTTTTGGGGGTACATTTGTGAAGGAGATAATTTTTTCCATCTCTCTATTTTACCTTTTAAAAATAAACAATGATAACTGTTACTGTCATGTTGGGTTCAAGGCGTCTACACATGCAGAAACACACTCGGAAACAGGGAAAAAGTTAAATGATTTATTAACAAGGTTTCACAGACAAAATGTTGCACTGGTTCTGGGTTCTTCATACTGGTCACGGGAGGAACACCACTGAGGAGGACAGAGCAGTTAGAGTTGATCCAGGGAAAATTGGTAGTTACAGATGACGAGGTAAAATACCTGCTCAGAGATGGATCTGATCAGCAGGGGGGGAACCATATGAGTCCAGAGGCTTGTCGGCAGGCAGAGGGCTGAGGCAGAGACTGAGACTAAGCGCAGGCAGGCAGATTCCAGACAAAGGTTTCTCTTACCAGGATTTCAGGTTTCAGGACAGTCAGGATCTGTGAGGCAGAGATAAACAGGATCAGACAGGTTCTCAAAGATCAGGGTTATAGATCAGGCAGGCTGGCTCAGGTTTTGCTAACCATTACTGGCAAACACTCTGGCACTGGAGTGTCAGTCTCCTTCTCCTTAAGTAGGTCTCTTGACGAGGAGACAGGAAACAGGTGTGTAGGTGAGCTCATGCCCTCAGGAGGAGATCTCAGGCGCCTTCTGGTGGAGAAAGTGGACAAGCCTCCAGATCCCAACAGTTACACAAGTCTCAATTTAAACAAAAAAGAATAAGATGAATTTACTTGAAAAACTAATCATAAAAACACTAATAATGCATTGCAAACGGATAGAGCATTGTGTCACGGTGAGGTGGAGATTTGACAGGAGGACCCAAATGCAGACGCTGAAGTGGTTTCTTGAAGATTTAATGACAAAAAATAGTAACATAAGCAAAAATCCAAAAATATAAATCCACAAAAACTGAGAACCAGGAATTCTCACAACAAAGAGGAAGAAATAACGAGAAATGAGTAACAGTGACTGAGCAGGAGGTGTATATATGGGAGAGAGAAAAAAAGACCAGGCTAATCAGCAGATTGGGAGCAGGTGTGAACAGAGGAGTCTAGAAGGGAGCTGGGAGAAGAAGACTGACACAAGAGGGCAAACAAGTAATACCTAAGAACTCAAACACATTTAAAAATAACTAGAATACAAAATGGAAATAAAACCAATGAAAACTCAAAGATAAAACTTAAACAGAACCATGTTAAACATCATTTGTTAAAGATAGGTTCTGTGTATGCACCTTGAAGCTCTCTCTCTGTTTTTATTTTTCCTGAAAAGAGTTCACTCAGGACAAACTCTTTAAATAACACTTTATAACTTATATGTATTAAATAACCAGGAGACACAACAACAGACTCTGATAGAAATGTAATCTTACTCAGATCAGAGAAGTCGCTTAGAGTTACAGAGGGCAGCTGCTCACCTCTGGGCTCACCTCTCAGGAAATATAAATACATAAACAGTTAAAAAGGCATTTTATGCATCTCCATTCTGCCACATCATCACATCATTACATCATACATGTTGGCAGATGAGTAGCAATGAGTAGACACAATGTTACGCTTTGTTCTTGGCTAAAGGTGTCAAGAACCGAGGACAGATGGGCCCAGTATTCAAGGAGAGACAGTCAGTAGGAAAGTTCAAAACGTTTATTAAATAAAGAAAACTAAATTGGAGCTGTGGCTCGCGGATTATGCAGGAGGGGGGCGGGGCACCGCCCAATCTCAGACACTCTGGTCTAGCAGATCAGTCCAAGAATGTCCCCAGTGCTGCAGTCCCAGAGGACATGCTGGAAGCCGATCCTGGTCAGGGATCCAGAACAGACAGGAACAGGATCCAGATCAGGCAGGAACAGAAACAGGTAGCAGGATCCAAACTTCCAGGCATCCACAGGCTCCCAGGAGGGTTCAGAGTCTGACAGGGTCCGAAAGCATGACCAGGGGATCAGGTGCAGACGGGCAGGCTCAGTGGCAGAGGGTTGCAGAGACAGGACGTGGAACCAGAACTTGATGCAGGACCTTTAAACTGGTCTCCTCTCTAGAGCCAGGATTACTGAGATAAAAACTGAACCTCCCCACATATAGAGCCAAAAACCCAGAGGACTCAGCAGGGGAGGAACAGTGGACGATTAGGAGACGAGACAAACACAAAAACCTCTTTCCACTGGGTGCTAGGATCCAGGACATGAACCAAGAAATAAACTAAACTGACAGGCTAACAGAAAGACAAGTAATGATCTGGCCCTGAATGCTCAGGCTGAACTGAATATAACCCAGAGGAAACAGGTGAGAGGAATAAATTATAATTGAGGCAGGGAGGGAAAACGACAGGTGAAAGGAATTACTAATTAAGGAGGAGCAAACAGGCCAGATCACGACAGAAGAACACCGCTATCATTTAATTCCCAAAAATTTGCCACGTACAGAATAAAGATTAAAACTGTATATCCGGACAGAGGAGCTGTCTTAATTAGATAAACTATTGTGGAAAATATCAGTTCTGACACACAACAGGCAGCTAATATTAAAGTGTAATTAACTCACACATCATCAATGATAATTATCCTAACAACCAAAACCTTCACAACAGCGCCCTCTGCTTCATGTTATCTCCAGGCATGACTGCGGAACCCTCCAATGAATCGGCAAAACACACGCTTGCAATATTGTCCCAAAATCTCAGCCAGTCGATGTTTCATCGTCATCTTTTCTTCAAACTTTAGAGGACATTTTTATTAAAGAGAGAATTAGCTTTAAGTGTCTTTGACCAACACTTTAAATCACCCTGCATCAGTTGCCTGCAACACCTCTGTGCTTCAATATAACATTTGTGATATTTTCTATTTTCCTGTCACCATCACCAAGAAAGAGCACAACAATGAGTCTGAACAGCCACCTTTAGCACACATTGCTGGTTTTATTATGCTGATTTTTTTGGCCAATAGTGTTCATGGGTTTGATAAAACTGAAGTAAACAAGATTCAGATCCACTAGGCAGTTATTCTTAGAACATAAAACTCATACAATAGTTTAGTCATTTTTTCAGCTTACTTGTGGTCTTTAACAAAAACAATGCAGTAAAAACAGGCCTGGGTATAAAACGACACAGTAAAACCTTATCATCCATTTTCTGACTCACCAGACACTTAAACCTTGAAAGTACCAAAGCAAAGGGAGAAAAATATGTATATATAACAAATATATATCATATCCTGTAATTACGGCAAAACTTTAAATATTCCATATATTTTAAGAGTATTATTCATATGGATGATTCTACTGGAAATCAGTCAAGGCTTTATATCTTAAAGGAGAAAACATTAAAGATTAACTTTAAACCTATTAGATATAAATGTAAAAAAAAAAGAGGATTAGGGCCACTGAAAAAAAAAAGTTAACTGATTTTTAAATTTGATTTCAGTTTAATATGGGAAAAAGGTCAGAATTCGGACTTTAATCTCAGAATTCTGACTTTTTTCTGAGAATTCTGACTTTAATCTCAGAATTCTGACTTTAATCTCAGAATTCTGACTTTAATCTCAGAATTCTGACTTTTTTCTGAGAATTCTGACTTTAATCTCAGAATTCTGACTTTAATATCAGAATTCTGACTTTTTTCTGAGAATTCTGACTTTAATCTTAGAATTCTGACTTTAATCTCAGAATTCTGACTTTCTTCTCAGAATTCTGACTTTAATCTCAGAATTCTGACTTTTTTCCCATATTAAACTGAAATCAAATTTAAAAATCAGTTAACTTATTTTTTTTCAGTGGCCCCAATCCTCTTCCATATGTCTTCTTTATATGTTTTCCCTTTTTTAAATTAATTTAGAAGTTTTTGTATTTTCTCATCACATAAATAAGAGGGTAGCCTCCACATATTTCTCTACATCTAACCTTCAGATGTTATCACTATGCACATGCTCTCTAGGCATCGGCTGAAACCTGGCGCTAATAAACTTGTGCAAACATATAATGATTTTAAGGTGTCATGACTTAACATCAACATTAAAAAAGGACATGTTTAATAATATTTTCTGCTCTTTAGAGAAGGACACAAGCATGCATACTCTTTGGCAGTATGCTATGAGGTGCCCCCAGGGACATAAATCAGAATTAACTTGCATATACACATATTAAATTACACTCTTCCATATAATATACTGAAAACCTCACAAAAACACTAGTAAAAGCTCTCACATAAACTAGTGAAAACGTTTACCTCTTATATAATCTACTCAAAAGCTCTCATACAAAGTAGTGAGAACTGTTCATATAAACTGGTGAAAAGCCCTACCTTTCATACACACTACTAGAAAGCTTTCATATACACTATTAAAAAGCTCTCATATACACTACTAAAACGCTCTCATATACACTACTAGAACGCTCTCATATACACTATTAGAAAGCTCTCATATACACTATTAGAAAGCTCTCATATACACTATTAGAAAGCTCTCATATACACTACTAGAAAGCTCTCATATACACTATTAGAACGCTCTCATATACACTACTAGAACGCTCTCATATACACTATTAGAACGCTCTCATATACACTATTAGAAAGCTCTCATATACACTACTAGAATGCTCTCATATACACTATTAGAACGCTCTCATATACACTATTAGAACGCTCTCATATACACTACTAGAACGCTCTCATATACACTATTAGAAAGCTCTCATATACACTATTAGAAAGCTCTCATATACACTATTAGAAAGCTCTCATATACACTACTAGAAAGCTCTCATATACACTATTAGAACGCTCTCATATACACTACTAGAACGCTCTCATATACACTATTAGAACGCTCTCATATACACTATTAGAAAGCTCTCATATACACTACTAGAATGCTCTCATATACACTATTAGAACGCTCTCATATACACTATTAGAATGATCTCATATACACTATTAGAACGCTCTCATATACACTATTAGAAAGCTCTCATATACACTATTAGAATGCTCTCATATACACTATTAGAACGCTCTCATATACACTATTATAATGCTCTCATATACACTATTAGAACGCTCTCATATACACTATTAGAACGCTCTCATATACACTATTAGAACACTCTCATATACACTATTAGAACGCTCTCATATACACTATTAGAAAGCTCTCATATACACTACTAGAACGCTCTCATATACACTATTAGAATGCTCTCATATACACTATTAGAACGCTCTCATATACACTATTAGAAAGCTCTCATATACACTACTAGAACGCTCTCATATACACTACTAGAATGCTCTCATATACACTATTAGAACGCTCTCATATACACTATTAGAAAGCTCTCATATACTCTACTAGAATGATCTCATATACACTATTAGAACGCTCTCATATACACTATTAGAAAGCTCTCATATACTCTACTAGAATGCTCTCATATACACTATTAGAAAGCTAAAATATATGGTCCCCCTCCTTTAATTTAGGCAAACATTGCTCAAATATCACCGAATCCAGATGGTTTGTTGTTGATGAAGAGAGGAATAAACACAGTTTAAGATTTGCAGCTAAATTAATTTGTTTCCATATTATGGAACTGCTATCAGGCACTTCCCATCATCTTATATCAGTAATAAAAAATTATAAATACATATTTGGTATTTGGTGACTTGACTTTTATTTCTGTCAGGCTGAAGTGAAAAAACTTGGAAAGAGACTGATTCTCTTGGCGTTTAAAATAACAACACAAAACAGCATAAGAAAACCGCATTTATTTTTTTTATTTTACAATTTTGTAAACAACAGCGGCTGATTAAATTAAATGTCTCAACCTTGTATAATTTTACGACTTTTTATTTAACCAAGAAATGATCCGAAAGGCCTGGGAAATGATCAGATCCGCTTATGTGGCTGCAATGCGCGGCGCGCTCCCGACACAGGTGGAACAGATTTTCACATGGGAACAGAATTTCGCACAACACCGGAAAAGGATCTCTGTTGAAGCATAAACATAAAAAATAAAGTCGAGTAATGCCCATGCTTCTGTGAGTTGTTTAGCGGATAGCTGAGCATGAATCAATAATTTTATTTGATACAATTTCGGCCGGAGATAGCACAAAATGTACGGAGCTAGCCAGAATGACCTCCGTTTAAAACAACTTCCGGTGTAATGACGGTCCTTCCTGTTTCACTGAAACACCTTCCGTTTCAACTGAAATCCGCTAATAGCTTTTCAGTAGTGTGTATGAGAGCTTTCTAGTAGCGTGTATGAGAGCCTTCTAGTAGTGTATATGAGAGCTTTTTAGTAGCATGTATGAGAGCTTTCTAGTAGCGTGTATGACAGCGTTCTAATAGTGTATATGAGAGCTTTCTAGTAGCATGTATGAGAGCTTTCTAGTAGCATGTATGAGAGCGTTCTAATAGTGTATATGAGAGCTTTCTAGTAGTGTATATGAGAGCTTTCTAATAGTGTATATGAGAGCGTTCTAATAGTGTATATGAGAGCTTTCTAGTAGTGTATTTGAGAGCTTTCTAATAGTGTATATGAGAGCGTTCTAGTAGTGTATATGAGAGCTTTTTAATAGTGTATATGAGAGCGTTCTAATAGTGTATATGAGAGCGTTCTAATAGTGTATATGAGAGCTTTCTAGTAGTGTATATGAGAGCTTTCTAATAGTGTATATGAGAGCTTTCTAATAGTGTATATGAGAGCGTTCTAGTAGTATATATGAGAGCGTTTTAGTAGTGTATATGAGAGCTTTTTAATAGTGTATATGAAAGCTTTCTAGTAGTGTGTATGAAAGGTAAAGCTTTTCACCAGTTTATATGAACAGTTCTCACTACTTTGTATGAGAGCTTTTGAGTAGATTATATAAGAGGTAAATGTTTTCACTAGTTTATGTGAGAGCTTTTTACTAGTGTTTGTGTGAGGTTTTCAGTATATTATATGGAAGAGTGTAATTTAATATGTGTATATGCAAGTTAATTCTGATTTATGTCCCTGGGGGCACCTCATAGTATGCAGCAATAGGTAGAGGAGCGGAAAGGTGAGGTACTCTATGCTTCATCCAGCGCAGAATAATAAAATATTGATCTAGATCAGAGGTCACGGATTAGCGCACAACAGTCCAGATCCGGACCAAATCTGATCTAAAACATTTATAAATTACTGCATGTTGTCCCATGGCATAGTCTAACTTCCCTTGCATCCAGGACCAGGCTGCACATGATACAAATTAACCAATGGGCTGTCAGTCTGGGTTGCTGCTGCTAGCGATGGGAAAGAAGGAGAAGACGATGAGAAAAAGAGAGCAGAGAAAGTGTGGACTGCTGGAAGAACTGCGGTGAACTGGTGAAAGAAAAGTGAAATGGCGTGCTCAAAGATGACCCTGCACATTTAGAGGATGTTTGGCTCAACCTGCTGCTGTGAAGCAGGATTCTCCACCATGAACAGAATCAGCAATAAATCTGGATCCAGGCTCAAAATGAGCTCCTTGATATGTGCTTGAGAATGGCTTAGTCTCCATTTAAACCCAGGTTTAAAGCCTTGCAGGGCAGCCTAAAGCCCACTGCCAACATTAAGACAGGAAAAAGAAAATAACAAACGCTCAGTTCAGGTGTTTTATAAAACATGTGAATCAGGAAATTGTCTATATACCAAATTAAACGATTGTTGCTCTATACTTAAAAAAAACACTTTAGATTTTAAAATTGAAAAATGTTCTATTTTTTAATTTAAAAATTCAAGGTATAACATGGATGCATTAAAAAAAACATTTTATTTCAGTGTTAAATTCTGTTTAAATTAACAGATTAATATTAAAAAATGTCTCTGGACCTTTACTGGTTGATGATTTTCTTTATTCTGACTCCGCTGATTTTTAATTGGTTACCCCTGGTTTAGACGGTCTTTGGACCAGGAGCACCAAGACACCTTATAATGGTTGAACTCTTTTTGTCTTTCAAAATAGCTCAGTAAGTTTTATATGTGAGATTAAGTTCTGCATTTTCAGCTCTCTTTAAATGTCATAACCATGAAGGAGAACAGATTGGTCATCATGATCTGTGTTTGATTCATCTCTGGGAACTTTGACACAGTGGGAGGCACCTCCTGTAACTCATTGACTTTGTAGTTTCAAATGTTTGTCAGGAGGCAACAAGGGTTATTATTTACCTTTAAGTCACTGGATGTATTTCCTTTGACTTTACCTGCCAAAACCTCCAAAGGTTTTCATGTGAAGCGAGAGACATCATGACTCCCTGCGTCAGATTCGTTTTGGACTCAAATTAAACGCTTTTTGACAAGAACCTTCATAACGTTTTTTTCTTTTGTCTGTGATGCAGGACACAATGAAGAAAGATGTTTCGTTAGAGCAGAACGGGAATCAACAGGAGTCTTTTGTGAGTTTAGAGGACAAACAGTAACTGTGACGTTACCGATTTCCCGTTTTGCTCTCAGATCTGTTCTCCTTCTTTTGTTTCTCTTGCTTCCTGTGTTTTTGTTGCAATGTTCTTTGAGGCTCTTTGATTTTTACACTATCTAATTCTCTTTGCATGTTTTACTCATCAGGCTGACGATGGCATTCGTTGGAGAACTGGATCGGAATATGCCAGCCCAGAACACAATGATGTGCCTAAAAACAGGGTGTCTCCCCCCTCCCTGTTTGGAAAATACAAGCCCAGCTTACAGACACTCAAGCCATTCCGCTGGTCTTCACCACAGTCAGTTTCATTGGCGACATAACGTAACAGTGCCTTGTACAGGTGCTGGTCATAAAATTAGAATATCATGAAAAAGTAGATTGATTTCAGTAATTCCATTTAAAAAGTGAAACTTGTATATTATATTCATACATTACATACAAACTCATATATTTCAGATGTTTATTTTGTTTAATTTTGATGATTACAAATGACAACAAATGAAAATATCAAATTCATCATATCAGAAAATTAGAATATTACTGAAGACCAATAAAAACAAAGGATTTATAGAAATGTTGGCCAACTGAAAAGTATGAACATGAAAAGTATGAGCATGTACAGCACTCAGTATTTAGTTGGGCCTCCTTTGGCCTGTATTACTGCAGCAATGCGGCGTGGCATGGAGTCGATCAGTCTGTGGCACTGCTCAGGTGTTATGATAGCCCAGGTTGCTCTAATAGTGGCTTTTAGCTCTTCTGAATTGTTGGGTCTGGTGTATTGCATCTTCTTCTTCACAATACCCCATAGATTTTCTATGGGGTTAAGGTCAGGAGAGTTTGCTGGCCAATTAAGAACAGGGATACCATGGTCCTTCAACCAGGTACTGGTAGCTTTGGCACTGTGTGCAGGTGCCAAGTCCTGTTGGAAAATGAAATCTGCATCTCCAAAAAGTTGGTCAGCTGCAGGAAGCATGAAGTGCTCTAAAACTTCCTGGTATGTGGCTGCGTTGACCCTGGACCTCAGAAAACACAATGGACCAACACCAGCAGATGACATGGCACCCCAAACCATCACTGACTGTGGAAACTTTACACTGGACTTCAAGCAACGTGGATGAAGTGCCTCTCTTCTTTTCCTCCAGACTCTGGGACCTTGATTTCCAAAGGAAATGCAAAATTTACTTTCATCAGAGAACATGACTTTGGACCACTCACCAGCAGTCCAGTCCTGTTTCTCTTTAGCCCAGGCAAGACGCTTCTGACGCTGTCTGTGGTTCAAGAGTGGCTTGACACAAGGAATGCGACAGCAGAAACCCATGTCTTTCATACGTCTGTGTGTGGTGGTTCTTGAAGCACTCACTCCAGCTGCAGTCCACTCTTTGTGAATCTCCCCCACATTTTTGAATGGGTTTTGTTTCACAATCCTCTCCAGGGTGCGGTTATCTCTCTTGCTTGTACACTTTTTTCGACCACATCTTTTCCTTCCCTTCGCCTCTCTATTAATGTGCTTGGACACTGAGCTCTGTGAACAGCCAGCCTCTTTAGCGATGACCTTTTGTGTCTTGCCCTCCTTGTGCAAGGTGTCGATGGTCGTCTTTTGGACAACTGTCAAGTCAGCAGTCTTCCCCATGATTGTGTAGCCTATAGAACTAGACTGAAAGACCATTTAAAGGCTTTTGCAGGTGGTTTGAGTTAATTAGCTGATTAGAGTGTGGCACCAGGGGCCATCAATTTTGAACCTTTTCACAATATTCTAATTTTCTGATATGATGAATTTGAGATTTTCATTTGTTGTCATTTGTAATCATCAAAATTAAACAAAATAAACATCTGAAATATATGAGTTTGTATGTAATGTATGAATATAATATACAAGTTTCACTTTTTAAATGGAATTACTGAAATCAATCTACTTTTTCATGATATTCTAATTTTATGACCAGCACCTGTAGATATGCTGCTATAGAATCCATCCAGGTCATAGTCATTCCAAAAAAAGAAAATTACAAACAATCTACTGGACTTTGTTTCCAACTTTGAAGACATTTCGGTTCCCATCCAGTAAGCTTTTTCAATTCAAACCTTAAACAGAGGGGGTCGACATGGCTTTCAAAAACCTACAATGCAGCAAGTGAGTTGATTCCTTCCCACTAGCATCACAGCCCCTATACAGCAGACCGGACATATTCAGCCAGGCCAAAAATTCCCTTAACGACCGACCTTTATCAGGCATTGCAGGCTAACAAAAGAAGCCAAAAAAAAAACCCTCCCCAGGGGATGGAGCCCTTCGTCTATTGCTGCAACTAACGATTATTTTAAAAATCGATGAATCGGCCGATTATTTTTTCAATTAATCGATGAATCAGACAAAAAAATATTTTTTATATTAACCTCTTTATTCCATCATAAACATTTTAGACAGAACAAACAAGCACACAAGTACAGGTTGCTCATTAACTGTACTGGTGCAATATGAAAAATAAACGTTTGTGTTAAAACTACGCAAACTTACATGAGAAATGTAGCTGTACATCCACAAAATATAGGCTACTTTGTTTCATAAAGCGCAAAAAAAGACATTTTTGTTTTTTAAAGCCCCTAAGGGGTTCAAACAATAGGTCCCCCCATTTCAACAAATGAGTTTTTTTAGACTAGAAGAGTTCTGCCTTTTAAGACAGGAAAGTATAGCAGTTAAAGTTGCTACTTGAGAAAAAAACTTAACCATAGAGATAAAAATAGCCCTGTGATTCAAATTATAAATTGTATTTGGAATAAAAATGAGAGAACTAGGGGTGCTAAAAAACACATCCTCCAAAGACAGATATTTACATGGGAATGTGGCAGATAATTAATTGACATATTACTGATCTTGCTGGATTTTATTCTGCTTTACTTCCATAAATTGCAGGATCTTCTTTACTTTATCTTTGCCAGAAGATTTAAACTTTAAAAGCCTTGCCCTCATAATTTGCAAGTTAATTTATTTATAAAGTAAATATAAACGCTGCTTAAGCTAATTCAAATGAAATTAAAAGTCAAATAAGTAGCCAACCTTATCACTGTCTGTAACCTACTAACACGGTAAGGAAAGCATCAGATGAGCTACCTGAGAAACTAACGTTACGTTTCCCCACTTTAAAACGAAACTGATCAGCTCTCTTCACTGCCATCGAAGGCTCCCACGTGTTTCCTTTTCAGGTGCTGCATCATAACAGTGGTGCTTCCGTGCCATGTTCATTTGTTTTTACAAAAGTTACGACTTTTTTCGCTTTACAAAGCGCAGGCTGTCTGCGAATTGAGACGCAGCTTGCGTTTGCGGTATCGGTCATTAAAACAGTTGACGTTTCTGCCTTTTGAAAACAGCCTTTGCTCACCTGCAGCGCTGGCTCGCTCTGCCGTATTTTTTTTCTTCCTCCGTATCAATCAAGTGGCAGTGATGACGACGGAGGCGGATGACGCATTAATTGCGCGACACAACTAATTGATGATGAAATTCGTTGCCAATGCTTTTAAAAGTCGATTTTTATCAATTTTATCGATTCGTTGTTGCAGCCCTACCTTCGTTCGTTTCAATTTGCACGTTTTCACAACAAAAACAAGGTTTTGTTGGGCTACTGTATAAAACCTCAAACTCAATGGTATTTCTGAGATTTTGAATTGAGAAAGCTTCCTGGATGGGAAGAGAAACGTCCAGTAGATTCCGTAAAAGTAAAAAAAAAAAAAATCCACTGGACTTGGTTTCCAAGATTTGAAGACATTTCGCCACCTCTCCAGGAAATCCAGTAGATTATTTTTCATTTTTCTTTTTTTTGGAACTTCTAGGATATCTTTTTTATTTAGCTCAACCCAATCATGTGCCACTACTGGAATTGCAAATTTCAGCCTCTTTTTATTCGACCTTTCAGTTTATGCAGGACCTTGTTTGACGTTTTTATTTATCTCTGCGGATTTAAAACAGCTATCAAAATGGGTTTTGGTCTTTATGACACTGTCTGTTCTCTAATCACTCTATATAACTCATACGTTTGACCATTTTAACTTATGGTTGTTAAATTCAATGATAGCACAGGAACACCATACTATATATTTCAAAAATTCAGATATAGTTCCCAACCCAATGGGGGTGTCAAACATTTAATTGGATCAAATCACTATTGCTCTGTAAACATGCCTAACTAGCTCTGTGTTAGGAAAACAAATAAAAAGGTAAACCACGATCAAATAGTTAACTCTGCACACATACAGTATGGAATATATACAACTAATTGAATGAGTTCTATTGAATGAAATATAAGAATTTACTGACAAATTTAATTCAACTCCAGGTAAAATATATTTCAGGTAAAATCTGTTGAAGTTTAACTAAACTAAGCTTCTATGTAAACAAAGAAAAAGAAAGGAAAGTGGTTGAAAACCGTAATCGAGGAAATGATGCAAGCACAGTGGCATGGATTTATGTGTAGGAACCAATGTTTATCTTGAAGAGTTTGGAATGAGGTCCAATTAGCTTTTAAACTAATTTGCAGCAAGTAAAGTAACACAGCAGCAGTTCAAACCAATTCACAATGCAAATGCAAAGAGTTAAATAAAACATTATTTGGAAAATAATGTTTAATTAAAGGATTTGCTCAGAAATCAACAAGCATTTAGTTATTTGATTCTGAACCTTCTGTAATTGTTCCTTAGGGAATAATAAAAATATAAGCCCCCCTAGCTTTTTCAGATTTGTAGTCAGATGATTTATTTCGGCAGACTTAATCATTAATCATTTGGTAACATGTTGGTGATCAGTGTAATGTGCATAACTGGAAATACATAATTTATATTAGTGTTTAAACCCTTAGTCAAATAAAGTTTTAGCATTAGAATCAACAACTTAGCATACGGTGTCATGGAATCATCATTTGTTAAACCAGAGATGGGGGATCTGGAGTCATCAAGTCATCTCTATGTCATGTATTTGACCAGGTGAGTCCAATCTGCACAGGTTCAACCAGATTGGACTCACCTGGTTCAGTGAATGGGTAGAACAAATACATGACAAAGAGATGACTTGTTGACTCCAGATCCCCCATCTCTGCCGTAAACACATGAATGATCAAAAATCATTGAAAATCCAAGTGTTTAGCTTTTAATGTGCTTTTAATGACCTACCTTTGCCAGATATTTAACCTCTTAGCTTATTAAAAAGCTGTCGAGCCTGAAACAAGGGAGCTAGTTTTGTTTTCTCTCAGATGAAAGGCTCCATTTTTGGACATCTTAAACTTTCCTGTAAACTCTAAGGAAAATGTTGCCCTACTTAACTCTGACAGACAGAAGGTTCTGATTCTTGTGGCCTTGCAGGACTTTCTGTTTATGGCATCTCTCCAGTGTGGCTGGCTTGAGAGCAAACACAAGTGGATGGTAAAACAGGAGGGAGCTGCTTTGTCCCTAAGTACAGTGGAAACAGGATTGGATGTACCTGAGGGAGTATCTTTTGAAAGGGAGGTTTGCAGTAGTTTGAGGGGAGAGCACAGCAGAGCAAAACTGCATTTTCCTTCATCGATATTCATGGTTAACTAGCCTGAACATTGGTCCTCAATGTCCAAAATTAATATCATAGCTTGTGCCATTAAATAGGAATTAGAATAAGAGAGGTTTGGTTTAATTATACGCTATATTTCCATTTCAAAGTCATGCACCTTTTTTTTTCTTTAGCCCAACAAAAAATCCCAATGCAATATATTGAAGTTAGTGGTGGTAAGTCCTATGAATATTTTAGCAGTGTGGTAAATGTGTGTTACCTATCATTGGTAATGCTCATGTTCTGTACAGTATGCAAATCTGATAATCCTATTTGTTATGTTCAGTTCACACCCTGTGGACAATGCCAGCTTCCTGTCATTTACAACCTTTGCCTGGATGACTCCCATGATGTGGGCCATATTCAAGAACAGGCTGGACATGTCCTCTCTTAGCCTGTCTCCATTCGATGTGGCTGACACCAGTGGAGAGAGGTTTGTGAATCTTTTTTGTTGCATTATCTAATGTTTTTACATATGGACTGCTACAAAAAAATAAAGAAATCTGCATTTAAAATGTTCTAAGATGGAGGTATTCAACAGGGGTACTCGACCCCTAGGGGGTCCAAGGAGGTACTGCATGGGGGTCGCAAAAGTTTTGGTTGATTATACTTTTTTTTTATATTTCCCGCTACAATTTTAATTGAAATGTTTTTAAATACACATTAACATGCATTCAACACACTGTAGTAAACAGATAAATGGAGGCAGAAGATGTCTTTCAGTCATCAATGCACACAGTCAGCGACACACAGGAGCTCTTTCAAGCTGGGCACCGTTTCATTCACAACACCTGTCCCATCAACCAGGAATCAGAAATACTTTAATAATCCCAGGGAGAGATTACTTTGGTTACATTACTCCATCTGTAGTAGAGTGACTATAGGACCAGTTTGATGTAACACAATTTCATAGCATATATATAATTAGGGGGTCCCCGCTCCATCTCGCCATCAGTTTGAGGGTCATTGGCCTGGAAAACGTTGAAGACCCCTGATCTAAGAAATCGTATCCTAAAGCCTCCTCCAGATGCCCTATAACTGTCGAACTAATATACTAATAATAAAAAAAGTTTTTCTCAACTTGTCTGGTTATCTAGCTGTGTCTAAGAAACAAGACTAGGAAGCAGGAAAAAGAAGAGTTTATTTCATCAAGTTTGGCTTTATGGTCTTAGATCTTATGGGGTAACAAAAATAACCCCAGGGCTGTGGGTAAAAGTGTCAGTGCCTCCTTTCTTCAGGGGTTACCTTACCTCCATCTTTCAAGGCTACAAAATATTGGCACAATGTCCTTTGCAATAGCCTTGAATTGCTTCAGAGGTTTATGTTTCTCAGCTCATGAAATACGGTCCGATATTTACTTAGATTCAATGCAATATTCTTACATAAAAGTTCGAGAACACTGTGAGCGTTTATTTGTAGGAAGAAACCTGGTTGTATCTTAGCATCCACTTACTGCTTGCTGTGCAGGCTGCAGAGAATATGGGAGGAGGAAGTGGCAAGGAAAGGTCTGGAAAAGGCCTCCCTGGTCAAGGCGGTTCTTCGATTTCAGAGAACGAGGTTCATTCTGGCTGTCTTTGTCGGTTTCCTTGCGTTTGGATCAGCATTCGTCGGCCCGGTGAGTTTTACTTTCATGCTTATGATCATTTACAGATGACATGTTTTTTTAAAGAGGTATGATTGCCATTCATATAGTGATAGTAAAACATTGCTGAAATATCTACTTTAAAACACACATTAGATTTGGACATGAAGTGGACATGAAGAACTAAAGAGCTGCACCATCTTTTGGTCAGAACCTGTTATTCAGTGAAAGGTTAGAGCCAGAGTAAAAAGTGGCTGGAATTTGGAGGGGATTTTACCGGGAGTTGTAGGGAAGTTGGCTGCCATTCGGCTGGTGTTTGACTGTGAAGGGCCATTTTTAATGGCTGCTACTGTGTGTGATAACTTTGTGGCCGTCCTTCAAAAAACTGCCTTTTTCACCCTACCCTAAGACATCACTGCATTTTGAAGTCTAAAACTGGAAAGTAACTATTAACTACGAACTGTTGACATATGTGAAGTGAAATCTGACCTCTTGACCTCTGCAGTAAGGAAATCCTTGATTTTTTAGCAACAAGGGCTCAGGCTACAACATCTAAGGTACTCAATCAAAAACATGCAGTTGTCATGATTTAATTTAAGGTCTCACCCAAAAATGCAGAAGATCAAACAGAGAGACCAGGGAAAAGTTTAACAGGTTTATTAAGAATATTGGTGATGAATCCAGTGCTGCTCAGAACATTGTGCAAACCGGAACTGGAAGGTGAGGGGAAGACACTGCGGTTAGTTCAGGCTCAGTGGGAAATTAGATTCTTTGGTTTGAATTGGAGGAATAGGTTGCAGACTCACTTCTCTAGAAAAAGGTGTTCTTTATGGAATCCAGTCTGTGTGGAATGTTCCAGAGATTGTCTTGTTTGGTTTTGGGCGGACAGGGTTACTCAGACTGCGGTTGTTCCTTGGTGAATGGAGAAGCTGACTGCCACTCTGATTTCCTGCAGTACTTGAATGGGCTGCGGTGCAGATGAAACCTTTGCTCAGTGTGAAGCTTGAACGACCTCTTGGGGAAAGTGGATCCAAACTTCCTGTTTGGAACCCCAGCTCAGTTAGAAGCTCAGTTGATCCTTCCAGAGAGAGAAGTTCCGAACAAATCCAGTTTGCAGGATGACTTCCTGCCGAGAGGCAAAGACAAAAACAAAGTTAAGACTCAGGTTGACAAAAACTCAGTTTAACTCAGCGAAACTCAGCTTGGCTAGAGTATCCAAAACTGGCAAACAAAAACTCAGGTTAGACTCTACTAAACTAAGCATGGCTAGAGTACCCTGTATTGGCAAACACTCTGGCGTTGAGGTAGTGGCAGTCAGCAGCTTAAGAACACTCCACAGGTAATGAGGCAATGAGCTGCAGGTGTGCAGGGAGGCCCAATGAGGACGGGGCACCACCTGGTGGAGAAGGAAAGGAAACACAAAAACAGACCACACAAACTGGATTCCTGACAGCAGTTTTATTGTGATAATTATAGCTAATGATTGGGAAGCTAATTAAAGTATCTGGAATTCATTGAATTTACTATTAAATAAAAATCTGTCTAAGAGCTTTTTAACCTCACTTAATTTTTGTTGTAGAAATAGACTAAATATATTTGCCTCTATGGGTTAGGCTTAGTTTTTCCTTTACCCAACTGGAATTTTCTTCATTATGGATTCTGAAACAGAGCAAACCCCCACTTTTCAGATGTAGTTTTTTAAGAAATCTTGAAAAAAAGTACGATTTTCCTTCTGTTTCATAATTATGCAAAAAATTTGTGTTCCTCGAATATAATGAAGGTTTTTATGATTACCTGGTGTCTCCCTGTCCTCCCCAGGGCATCATTGTTAACAAAATCCTGAACTATATTGAAAACCCTGGAAAGAGTACGGTGACCTATGGTGCCGGTTTGGCCGTGGCTCTGTTCTGCACCGAGTTCTTCAAAGCGTTCTTCATTTCCCTCATGTGGGCGCTAAACCTGCGCACAGCAGCCAGACTGAAAGGAGCCTTCTCATCCATGGCCTATCAGAAAGTCATCTCTCTCAGGGTCCACAGCGGGATTTCAATGGGAGAGGTAAAAAAGACATATTTGCAAAGTTTTCCAGTCTAATGCAACATGTAGAAACTACTTTCTCTTCTGTCTTCCATACATGCAGATGATAAATGTCTTGACCAATGACGGCCACAGGTTGTTTGAGGCGGTGCTTTTTGGAAGCTTTGCATTCAGCACCCCAGTGATCTTCATTGCCTGTATTGTATATGCCTGCTATGTTCTCGGTTACACCGCCCTGACAGGAGTCTTTTGCTACATCCTGTTTGTCCCCATACAGGTCAGCAGCTCTTATCATAACCTCAACATTTAGTTTGTTTTCTCAGATACATTAAACCAACAATAAAAAGCTATAAACAGTAGTTAATTTAAGATTATTGATGGCATTCAATTTAAAGATGATATTGGATATAAAGGAAATAAAGGACGACAATATTTGACCTGATTTTGCAGCTGGGCTGGGAAATGCTTTTTGTTTTTATAGGAGCACCTTCTGAAATACTGAATTAGGTGTTTGTTTTTTTATGCTAATCAACTTTGAATGCAGCCTTGAACAAAACTCTTTCCCTGCAGTTTTCCTTGGCAAAATTAATCAACAAATTCAGATGGAAAGCAATGCAGATAACAGACAGCCGCGTTCGCACAATGAATGAGATTCTCAACAGCATAAAGCTCATCAAGATGTACGCCTGGGAGGAGTCCTTCGAGAACAAGATTGCAGGTACGTTTAGAAGCTGCATGTCAACCAATTAGTGCCTCTCAAAATATCACTGCACTGGAAAAAATCCAATTCTAGATAAGTCCTTTTTTCTTAAAATAAGTGCATTTGTTCTTGAATTGAGGAGATAAAAGAGACATATTGCCAATGGAACAAGACAATTTAGGTTTAAAATAAGAAAACACAATTGCATTGTCTTATTTCAAGCGCATATTATCTAATTATCTTATTCTAAGAGTAAAAATACTCATCCCATTGGCAAATTATCTCATTTACATACTCAAATCAAGGGTAAATACACTTAATTTGAGAAAATTTTAGTTATTTCTGGAACATTTTTGCAGTGTGCAAACATTTAAATATAGATAAGTCCATTTTTCTTGGAATAAAAATTTTCTCCCTTAATTTCAGCAAGTAGGACAGTTTTCTAATGGAATAACATGAAATGTTTCAAACAAGTATTTCTGTTTCAAATACATAATAGCTGATTCTTTTCTTTTAAAGGTCAAAAAACCGTATTCCTTTGGCAGATTTTTTTTTTTTTACTTATTCAGCTTAAGGAAAAATAAATTCATTTTAAGAACATTTCTATTTATTTGTAGATCCGTTATTCCAGTGTTGGAAACCCTTGAATGTATATATGTATGTCTATCTGCCCATTAACTCTTTTAACTGCTCAATTAATGGACCTTTGATGTAGTAATTATTTATTAGTTGATTTATTGATTTAATAACGTTGGGGATGTTTCTAGAGGCCTTGTCCATTTAAAAACTGAAGTATCACTGATCTTCCTTTTGCATTATGGCTCGATTGGAGAGCATATGTGATTTATATCTTCACCCAGACTACCAATAATATCTAAATACATCTGGTTATTATAGCACAGTTATACTTATTCGTTCTGAACCCTCCTATTGTGGCTCTGGCTATTTGTGTAGAGTTGCTTATTAACAGAAAGATGAACCTCGTGTCTTTTTCATTTCCTATTGGGTTTTCTTATGAGATCGCTTTATATTTGAACTCAATCATCTTCCCATCCATGCTGTGCAGATAAGTCATTTTTTCTTAAAATAAGTTAATTTGTTCTTGGGTTGAGGAGGTTAAAGAGACATTTTGCCAATGGAACAAGACAATTTACACTTTAAATAAGAAAACACAATTGCATTGTCTAATTTTAAGTGTATATTATCTAATGATCTTATTTTAAGAGTAAAAATACTTATCCTATTGGCAAACAATTTAACTTACCTACTCAATTTAAGGGTAAATACACTTAATTTAGGAAATTTTAACTTATTTCTATATTGTTTTTCCAGTGAGGATGATGTTGGCACCTCTCAGAACAATGTTGGAGGAATTTAGGTCAAAAAGTTCACATTTATCTTGTGTGATCAGAACAGCTTTTTACAAGTTTGACGTCTTTGCTCTGAAGCATGAGGCAAAAAGTAGGACTTTTAAAAAATAGAAAGAGACTTCAGACTCTGCTTAAGTACTGAACCTGTTTGCTTCATTTAATGCTGCTGAAGATTCTCAGTCAACCCGGTTATGTTCATTCCAAAAAAGTAAAAAAGAAATCCACTGGACTTTGTTTCCAAAGTCTTTGTTTGAAGACGTTTCGCTTCCCATCCAGGAAGCTTTTTTAATTTCAAACTACATTTTACACTGGAAAAAATGGAAACCTAGAAAAGTCATTTTTATATTAAAATAAGTGCATTTGTTCTTGGATTGATTATCAAAGAGACATTTTGCCAATGGAACAAGACAATTTACATTTAAAATAAGAAAACACTATTGCATTCTCTCATTTCAAGTGCTTTTTATCTAATTATCGTATTTTAAGTGTAAAAATACTAATTCCATTGGCAAATTATCTAATTTACCTACCCAGATTAAGGGTAAATACACTTAATTTAAGAAACCTTTTACTTATTTCTAGATACATTTTCCAGTGTACATTGAAATAGCTTCCTGCACAACAAAAAATGCCTTCTAAAAAATAAGAAAAAAATATACCGTTTTAAGTAAATAATTGCTTATTCTGAGCAAAATAATCTGCCAGTGCAGCAAGCAAATGAGACTTGGTAAGATTTCTTAAAAGAAGAACATAATATCCGAGTAGTAAGCATCCAAAAAAACTTAAATCAAGTATAAAAATCTACTTTTTCTTTTACTTGATAAGATTTTTTGTCTTATTTTAAGCAATGTATTAAACTAGTCTGTTTTTCTTACCTAGAATTAATTTCATTATTTTGGTGTAGTGAATCTAAAAATACACTTGACAAAAACTTTAACACGTTTCTTTTATTAGCATTTTAGCAGAAATGTCACAGAATTAAACGAAATACACCCCCCCTCCAAAAAAAACTCAAAAAGCTGAGGGCTGCACAGGGTAACAATAAAGTGATGGTGATGTAGCAGTATCGCTACGCTCTACCCCTTCTATTCATTCTAGCTAATCTGAATCGTTCAATTCCATTTGGAGAGCGAGAATATCTGTGGTAACAGCACTAGACATCTTCCAGGCATGTGTGGAAAACTAGCAGCAGTTCAGCGGACAGGATGAAAGAACGCTACTGTAGCCGGCGCACGCGGATGACGTCATACACGCGCCGCTTCGTCTTTAAAAGATAAAAATATAAAAAATATAACCGCGGATGTCTGGGGGACAGTGATACGCCTACGTTATGATTGCTGGTGTACCATAAAGAATAAATTATAAACAGTTTAATTTGTGCTTCAAGTCGTTGCCCATAGGAAGACTTTACTTGGATATAACCTGACAGAATATCTTCAGAACGGCTCCAAATGACACAAAACTTATAGAGCATGATGTAATAACGTAAAATTAGGGGCCAAATTTAAAAAAGGTGTTCCCTTTTAAGGTAGAGCTTCTATTATAATAAGCATATGTATGATGTACAGTAGTTATGATGTATTGTAGTTTACTTTGTTCTGCAAACAGTAAATGATCCACTAGTGAGGTTCAGAATCTCAAAGCTAAATTATGAATGGCAATCTCAATGGCCCTATCAATTTGAATGCAATCACAGTTGATTAGCTGCAATATCTTAATGAGATGGGGTCAGTTCTTAAAACAGGTTAATATGAATTGTCTTGTTGTCTTGAAACAAGTAAAAATGTACTCACAGTCTAAATGTTAACGCGACACAGTCCACAATGTGTCCTATTTTAAGAAAAAAGCTGCTCAGAATTAGTTTTATTATCTAGTTAGGATGAAAAAGGTGAATTTTCTTAAAACAAGTCAAATAATCTTAACAATATTCAGTCTTACTAAGAAAATACATTGAAAAACAAGTGTAATGAGACAAAAATGCTGAATTCAAGTTTATTACACTTGTATAGATTTTCCTTTTTTGCAGTGTGGATGGGAAGCGAAATGTCATCAAACTTGGAAAATCAAGTGGATTTATTAATTTTTTTTAAACTTTTTTTTTTACTTCATTTACTGGTTTTCACAAAATTAGTTTACTATTATTTCCTTGCAAACCACCCAAAGGGACTCTATTTAATGGTAAGGACACTTCTGAAAGCCATGGATCTTATTAAGGCCCATCAGAGAGAAGGAGGTGGAGTGAATACAAATCACAAACTTCAGGTCTTTCTTTGAAAAAAAAAAGTTAAATTTTCTTTCTACTTGTCTTAATTTGCTAATTTATGTTAAATTCCTTCGTTTACACGCCACATGTAAAAATGTCCTCCTCTTTACAGGATTGAGAAAAAAGGAAAAGAAGCAGATTCGCCTGGTCAGCTACATCCAGAATATAAACACCAGCATCACCAGCATCGTCCCGACCCTCGCCACTGTTCTCACCTTCCTGGTTCACACTCTGCTGGGTTTATCGCTCAATGTGTCTGATGTAAGTACAGCAGCGCTGAGCTGTGAATAAGGGATTGGAACGGAGAACTGTCGCCTCGTTGACATCAACTAAAGAGTTTCCATCTAAAGCCCATCAGGGTTGTTTTCACCTCATTGTTTGATTTTCTGTAAACAGGCCTTTTCTACTATCGCCATTTTTAACTCCATGAGGTTTGTCCTCGCCTTGCTGCCGTTGTGTGTGAAGGCCCTGGCTGAAGCTGCTGTGTCTCTGAGGAGATTAAGGGTACATTTTAAATAACTTTTTCCATTTTAAAGCTTTAATTGCAATTTGCTCTCATCAGTGAGGGTTTGGCCTTTTGTATTATAAAGATCAATGCAAATTATTTGTTTAAACATGTTGGTCTATCACTTTAAATCTCAGTATTGTTCAATGAAATCAGTGGTTGTACAGTAGAAGCCATCTTTCTGCTGAGAAGTAAAATCTGAGAAACCTTATCCATTAGTTTGGTTTTAAGGGAAGCAACCAATTCACTGCAGAAATTAAGATATAAGTAATTCAGTTTTTTTTTTTTAAATAAGTGTAATTTCCCTTGATTTGAATAAGCAGACCAGTTTTTTCGATTTACATTTAAAATAACAGCTCCAAATTGGAAAAACGATCTAGAAATAAGTAAAAACTTCTTAAATTAAGTGTATTTACCCTTAATTTGAGCAGGTAAATGAGATAGTTTGCCAATGGAATGAGTATTTTTACTCTTAAAATAAGATAATTAGATAATATGCACTTGAAATAAGACAATGCAATTGTATTTTCTTATTATAAGTGTAAATTATCTTTTTTCCATTGGCAAAATGTCTCTTTTACCTCCTCAATCCAAGAACAAATGCACTTATTTTAAGAAAAAATGACTTGTCAAGATTTTGATTTTTTCCAGTGCATTGTCTTATTTCAGGTGCATTATATCTAATTAGCTTATTTTAAAAGGTAAAATGTTCATTCCATAACCAGATCATACATTTATTTTAAAGATATGTTGTTTTAAATCAGTTTTCGCGGTGTTGTAACCCTAAGCATCCAATGTGTGGTTGCTGTGTCAGAAAATCATGCTGCTCCAGAACCCAAAGCCCTACCTGCAGCAGAACAAGGACAGTCAAACAGCTGTAGAGATGAGAAACGCCACGCTATCCTGGACCAGTGCTGCCAGCGAACAGGATCACCTTCCCAGCCAGAACGGGGAGGTGAAGGAAGACAAGGAAGAGGAGAATGGTCGTAGTCAGAGCTTACCAACCCTGAGAAACATCTCCTTCACTCTGCCCAAGGTCTGCTGGGAATCGGATTAGCTTATTGTCGTGTTTTGGTTCAGCCGAAGCCTGAAGGTCTCTGTGTTTCTTCCTGAAGGGCAGCCTGCTGGGTGTCTGTGGGAACGTGGGGAGCGGAAAGACATCACTGATCTCCAGCATTCTGGAACAGGTTGCTACGCCATTTTTTCCACTGTCACTAGTTTCTGACGTATCTTTGCTTTTAAAAAAGCTTTTGCAGTTTAAGCAATCCCTAAATACTTATCCTTAAATCTTCCAGATGCATCTTCTTCTGGGTTCCATCACAGCAGATGGGACGTTTGCTTATGTTTCCCAACAGGCCTGGATCTTCCATGGAACAGTTCAGGAGAACATCCTGATGGGCGAACCGTTGGACCAGGCCAAGTAACAAAACACTGTTTTTCTTTTTCAAGGTTAAAAATGTTTAACCAGGAGAACGTGAAATTTCGCCTGTCATGGTAGTTAAACAAGGACAGAGGTCGTCTGTGTTATCTGGCAGCTCACCTTGGGGAACTGCTGATCAATGCATATGGATTTTATGTAACATAAGATAAGGGCTGTCTCTAAAAAATGTCGTAGAAAGCAGCTTTAATTATCCCTGAGATAGATATCTTCTAGGTTTAAATATATCTACCAGACAGGAAGCTGTTATCACTTAGTTTAGTTACAATTTACCTAAAATTCAGATATAAAATTCTATAACAATGCTATTCATTGTTTGATCTATTTGCTAAAACATGCATTGGCCTCCTAACACATTCCCTCTGTTCTACATTGTTGAACTGATTCTTTTTAAATAACAGAATGACATTAAAATAACCAGAAATATGTTTGAGAGTTATTTTTTTTCTCATTATCTTGGAAATTATGTGTTTTAAAGCAAATTCATTCATTTATAGGTCAATTAATACCCTATAGAAGGAAATTTATGCTTCATCTTTAGGAATCGTTTTGTTTTTCCTTATTTTAAAAGCTAAAAATATAAATATACCTTAACTTGATTGTTTAAGATAGCAGCAGATTTCTTATTGGGATTAATTAATTTATTGCAAATTACAAATTTCATAAAAGTAATAATTCTAATCAATGATTTTATTTTTTTTTTTGTATTTTGATACATTTTGATTAATAGAATGTACACTCACCGGCCACTTTATAAGGTACACACCTGTCCAACTGCTCGTTAACACTTAATTTCTAAGCAGCCAATCACATGGCGGCAACTCAGTGCATTTAGGCATGTAGACATGGTCAAGACAATCTCCTGCAGTTCAAACCGAGCATCAGTATGCGGAAGAAAGGTGATTTGAGTGACTTTGAACGTGGCATGATTGTTGGTGCCAGAAGGGCTGGTCTGAGTATTTCAGAAACTGCTGATCTACTGGGATTTTCACGCACAACCATCTCTAGGTTTTACAGAGAACATCCAGTGAGCGGCAGTTCTGTGGGCGGAAATGCCTTGTTGATGCCAGAGGTCAGAGGAGAATGGCCAGACTGGTTCGAGCTGATAGAAGGGCAACAGTGACTCAAATAACCACCCGTTACAACCAAGGTGGGCAGAAGAGCATCTCTGAACACACAGTACGTTGAACTTTGAGGCAGATGGGCTACAGCAGCAGAAGACCACACCGGGTGCCACTCCTTTCAGCTAAGAACGGGAAACTGAGGCTACAATTTGCACAAGCTCATCAAAATTGGACAATAGAAGATTGGAAAAACGTTGCCTGGTCTGATGAGTCTCGATTTCTGCTGCAGCATTCGGATGGTAGGGTCAGAATTTGGCGTCTACAACATGAAAGCATGGATCCATCTTGCCTTGTATCAACGGTTCAGGCTGGTGGTGGTGGTGTCATGGTGTAGGGAATATTTTCTTGGCACTCTTTGGGCCCCTTGGTACCAATTGAGCATCGTTGCAACGCCACAGCCTACCTGAGTATTGTTGCTGACCATGTCCATCCCTTTATGACCACAATGTACCCAACTTCTGATGGCTACTTTCAGCAGGATAATGCGCCATGTCATAAAGCTGGAATCATCTCAGACTGGTTTCTTGAACATGACAATGAGTTCACTGTACTCAAATGGCCTCCACAGTCACCAGATCTCAATCCAATAGAGCATCTTTGGGATGTGGTGGAACGGGAGATTCGCATCATGGATGTGCAGCAGACAAATCTGCGGCAACTGTGTGATGCCATCATGTCAATATGGACCAAACTCCCTGAGGAATGCTTCCAGCACCTTGTTGAATCTATGCCACGAAGAATTGAGGCAGTTCTGAAGGCAAAAGGGGGTCCAACCCGTTACTAGCATGGGGTACCTAATAAAGTGGCCGGTGAGTGTATTTAAATGAATGGGGTGTGTTTCATCAAAAAGTCATGTCATATTTTGCAGCTCAGAAGGACTTTTACTTTGGACATGAAAGGTTGCAGACCCTGTTCTAAAGCATCTTAGCTGGATTTAACAGTGGATTTTAATTTCAAAGACTCTTTATTCTTTGGGTTATTTTCCTGCTCTTTATGTGCTTCAGCTTAGGGTCAAACTAACCTGACTCCGCCAGATGGATTTGCTCCGCATATCCATCTGGAAACCTTCCGTTGAAGTAATTTTGGGAAGGGGCGAAAATACTGGTTAGCTGATTGGCCTATGTTGGTGATAGACGGGCCAAATAAACCAATCAGATCAATGAAGCATATGACGTACTAACAGGGCGACGACGAAGAGGAGCCAATTGATAGATCAAACTCTTGCCAAAACCAGTCGGGAGAAGAGCAAAAACATCTTTTCCTCTGAGAAAAGCCTCCAGAGCAGTGTTTTGCTCTTCTTTCAGTGAAGAAATACTCTATAATTCCGATAAAACTTGCTCGAAAGCCATGCTAACGCTAGTTTCATCGGCTGAAGCCGCCATGTTCTTTAGGCTGAACTGTCGCGCTTCTCGTCGCGTCACACCTCAACCCGCCTCAAAGCCAACGCTGATTGGACGTTCGTTTGGTGAACGGCTCCAAATTTTCTTTAACGGAGAGTCTCCAGACTGATCTGCGAGTGAAACCTTGAAAGCTCGCGAGATCAGGATGGTCTCACGAGGCTAGGGTCAAACACCTTAAACTGGATATTCTCCCTCAGGCTTTTTTGATAGCTAGCAGAGTTCAATGTTCCATCACGTATGGTAAAATATTCCCGCTCAGCAAAGAGCCACAAACCACCACCATGTTGGACTGTAGGTAGTAAACACACACAATGGACAATTTAATATGGAACCAAATGTTCTGTGGGTCTGAAGGGGGCTTCAGAGATAAACTCTAAGATAGATTTTTATCTATTTCCCTGTTTCTCTGCTTTCTTGAATGATGTTAAATGAGGAAGTTATGTCCCCTAAAAAAAGCCGTTGCGCCTCGGGGGCTTCCTCACGGTTCTTTTCCTGGGAGCAAGTTATTCACTACTCTTAACTCAAACTGGGTAAACCCATGAAAAAAGGACTATAAAACAGGAGTAAAAAGTAACAGAGTTTATTCCAGATCAGGTCGTTACAGGACAGAGAAAAATGCTTGGAGCTTGCACAGCTGTGGGCTCAAAAATCACGTCCGCGGGACGTCCAGCAAAGATTTAGCCCCGAACAAGGTCATCTTCTCCTTCATACAGCTCATGAGTCTATGTGTTGCACCAGGTGGATGCTTTGCTGTCTGTATCAGAAACTGACATGCCATCCATGCCCAAGGATTAGAGATAGCTCCCCTCTACCAGTCCGGCTCCAAGATGTTCCCATATCCTGTGTATTTTAAAAGACATGAAGGCTGTCCTGATTAGATGACCTCCGTACACACAGTGACATCCACAATGTGAAGGAAGGCCTTCTACTCTCTAATCTGGCTAATAAAGTAACAATGCACATGATGTATAAAGAATAAACCTAACAATGATGACCACTGACCATAACTATGTGAAATTGAGCCTGCAGTTAATTAGAGATCTCTTTTTATTGACAAACAAAGATAACTATACCCAAGATTGTGTTTTAATGGGTCAATTTTACTGAAAATACATTTATTTGATCTGAATAGAAGTGCAATAAAAAAAATAGAGATGAAAATATGTCAGAGAAAAAATGTTTTCACAGTTTTTTGGTGTCAGGCTGAAAGTTTCCTGTATTTATGTTCTGCAGATATGACCGGGTTTTGGATGTTTGCAGCCTCAGAGGTGACCTTACTATCCTGCCATATGGAGATCAAACAGAGGCAAGTGCTTTCTTTTATCCTCTTCTTCCTCACCAGTGTCCTGTATCCCTCCAATCTTTCTGCTTCATGCTCACAGCTCTTGTCATTGGTCTCCATCTGGAGCTGTTGATGTCTATGCTCCTTCCAAACATTCACAATAAAACAGACAAATATAGTTCAGGAGGTTGATAGAAAATCACAGATTTTACAAAGTGAAACCTGCAGTAAATGTAGATTGATTGCTCAATGATCATGGTGTTAGGTTTATTGAAGACAGTTTGTGTGTGTACATATGAAACATTGAAGACCTGCCTCCAGCCAGAAGGTCATTACAGGGTCATTCTGTCTTATGACCCACCCCATCCTGTTGTGATCTGTTAATAAAAAGCTCTACTGTGAAGGGAGCAGTGAGAAAGGTGCTGAAATGTGAGCAGGCAGCCTTTCTCCTCCTGCAGGAAGCTGTGTTTGAAAATCCCTTGGTGTGTCAGATTCCTTTTTTGTCCTAAATGAACTCACAATTTTTTGCAGCTAACACATGGCTCAATAGAAATAAAAAGCCAAACTCCAGTTTCTCTGAAATGTAAATATTACATATGATGAATACAACGAGCAAACTGAAATATCAGGCTTATCAACGAAGATGTTTTGCATGATATAATCACACTTTTTTCTTCTATTTAACTTTCTATGAACACAGAGTTTAACTCCCACAATAATCATATTTTATTACACACTGATTTTTTTTCATCATCTGTATCATCAATAAAAAGAAATAAGGGGTAGAAATATTGAACTCTGTGGATAGATTAGATTAGATTAGTTTAGATTAGATTAGATTAGATTAGATTAGCTTTATTGATCTCACAGCGGAAAAATTCACTGGTCACATATTGGCGTAGTAATTAAAGAAGGTGCAAACAAGGAGGAAAAAGGTGCATTAAGAATAAACAATATATATATAGTATATCAAGATAAATAAGGATTATAATACAAGATAAATAAGGATGATAATTAAATAATGGTCACTTATTTTCTCTAAATAATGCAGAAAAACACCAGACATTTTTCACAGCATTTAACGTTTTAGGTAAACGTATGGTGATAGTTCTAATGCTGTTTGGTTGCTAGATCGGAGAAAGGGGTCTGAATCTGTCCGGAGGGCAGAAGCAGAGGATCAGTCTGGCCAGAGCCGTCTACTCTAACAAAGACATCTTCCTCCTGGATGATCCGTTGTCTGCTGTCGATGCTCATGTGGGAAAACACATCTTTGAAGAATGCATAAAGAAAGAGCTTCAAGGAAAATCCATCATCCTTGTCACGCATCAACTCCAGGTAGGAAAGCATTGAGCTCATTGCATATGTTAAAAGATTTTATAACCTAAAAGAATCGGTGCAAAAAATATATGTAGAAAGTAGTGCTGTCAATCGATTAAATTTTGTTAATCGCGATTAATCGCATCAATGCCTAAGTTAACTCGCGATTAATCGCATTTTAATCACACATTTTTTTTCAGATTGAAAATCATTTAAATACTCCTGATGACATACAAAAAATACATACAGGCTAGGTTTGTGCCAATGTTCTTTTTTTTAAATGAAAACAGGTCACAGACATTGATTTATGCCATAGAAACATATGGCAAGAAGATGGGGAGGCATGTAGCAAAAAATAACAAATATGTAGCCAAAAAAAAGGCCCTGAAAACAGGCTGATGTAAAAGACAGTCTTTACAGTTAATACAGTCTTTTGAACAAAGACAAGCATTTTACCCTACTGCTATAAAATGTAGTACAGTTAACATTAGATGTTAATTAACCAAGATAATAATGAACAATTTTCAATTAATACATCAAAATCAATAGACCGACATCACTAGATGGAGGTAGTCTATGCTCTAGAAAGTTACTTTTCAGCCTCTTAACAAAAATGAGAACACACCCAACACACACACACACACACACACGATACCGACCTGTGGCGAACACAGACAGCAAGAGTGTCGTAGCAGATTCCATTTCACCTCAGTAATCAGTTTTCTCAGCGTATTTCAGGTTGCTACTAGCCACCAGACACTCAACTTGTTTGTTGGTGGTGGGGCTTAAAGAAAAGGCACTAGCGCTACCCAGTGTATGAGCGTCTTTTTTCCTTGAGGAGCTCCGCTCTCGAAGCTTATGGAAAATGCATAGACTGGGGGAAAATAGCCCCGCCTTCCCGCAGGCTGCAGCGGGATGTACTTGGAAAATTGTACCATAAAACCACATAGCGTTAATCTCACGTTAAAAAAATTATTGCCATTAAAATGGCCTGGCGTTAACGCGATAATAACGCGATAATTTTGACAGCACTAGTAGAAAGTAATGGAACTGAGACTGATAAAACAGTCCTGTTTCTCTGACTGTGACTAACTGGATGTGCTCTCTTCATCCTCTGACATGGGAGCTGGCTCGGAGCTCGTCTGCCTGGCTGTGTTTCCTGGAAGAGGCCGCCTTTTACAGCTGCTTTTTGTATCTCTGCTTCTGTCTCCTTGAACCCCAGTGGGCCTCAGCAGATGGCCGCTCACACTGAGCCTGGTTCTGCTGGAGGTTTCTTCCTGTTAAAAGGGAGTTTTTCCTCTCCACTGTCGCTACAAGCATGCTTAGTGTGAGGGATTGCTGAAGAGTCAAAGAGTCGATGCAATCAGCTGGTTTTCCTTAGATAGAAAACTTTGAATCAATCTGACTGGATGATCTGGTTGAACTGGAAAGTGCCTTGAGGTCACATGTGTTGTGAATTGGCGCTATAGAAATAAACGGAAATTTAGGTACACAGAGACACATAGAAGAGCACAAATAAATCCAATAGAAAGAAGCATCCTGGTGGTTTTTACTCTGTCCAATAATGCTGACCACCCCTGGCCCATATTTTCCAGTATCTGGAATTTTGTGATGACATCCTGGTTCTGGAGGACGGTGAGGTCAGAGAGGCCGGGAATCACCAGGCACTGATGAAAACCAACGGACGCTACGCTCAGCTCATCAACAACTACCAGATGGAACAGTCCAAAGTAAAAGCATCACATGTTTTTATGAACTGAAAATATTTCCTCTTCACTTAGGATTTATTGTTTTATAGCTTCGGAGCAATAAAAATAAAAAGCAGCTGTAACCAGCAGGTTCTTTGTTCTTCTCAATCCCAGATGGAGAAAGAGGAGGAGGAGGAGGCGTCACCCAAACAGGCTGCTGAGCTGAATGATGTCAGACAGCGAGCTGACAGTGGGATAGTTAACCCCGGTAGGATAACAAAGGATATAGTTTTCAAGCAGATGTTGGTAAAATATAAATAAAAATACTCATTCATAATAAATTGAAGGAAAAAGCTATTTGGTTCAGTCAATAATTAGAGAAACTGATAAAATAGATTCATGTTGTCGCTTCTGAATATAAACAGAGCAAATACTACAGTAGACTATGGATAAGAAAAGGAATATCCGTCAGTATTTACATACCAATGTCATATTTCTGTTTACAGTCGTATGTATTTTAAAGAGCAGCAACATTGAACTAGGTTTTATTGCAGCTGCAGTTGTGCTTAAAGAAATAACATGTTTGCCTCTCTTTAGCGTTTGACATGTCAGATGAAAACGATGACGGGACGCCAGCGGATCAGAACAGTAAGTCAAACAGAAATCAGTCGATTCTGATGTCGACCAAACAGTTTGTTTAGCATCCAGACTGCCATTCTTATTGAGTGTAATTCCGATTTACCCATTTTACCCATTGCTAACTGGGATCTTAACCCTATAATGCCAAATGTATCGTATTTGATACATACGGTTTCTGAAATGTTTTGCGTCTGACACCTTTTGCATAATTTAATGGTGAAAACTTTGCTCAAAATCCTATTGTACACAATCAGATATACCTGATAACAGCCAGTAGAAGACTACACAAAAAAATTATCTTGACTTATCGCATAGTAATAAATTATTAATATCAAAAATGTATTTCTGTTTTTTCTTTTTACATATTTTGTTAAAAGGGCAAATAAGGAATTCAAACCAAAAAAAAGTAATTTTCTGTTTTGTTTTATTCTTGGATCGGGCTTTAAAGGGTTAAACTGAATCTTGAAATCAACATCTGAAATCAGTATAATTAACTATTGGTATATTTTCCTCTGGAACTTGAGAAAAAACTCTTTTCTTCAAGTAATTTAAAAGTGTTGTGTTGTTTTGTTATACTATGCCTACAGTATAACAATTCTTTACTATTTAAACATGCAATTAGGTTTCGAATACCTTTTTTTATTTTTTATTTTAGGAATATTGTCATTAAATGACAAAGAAGCAAAACATTTTCAATCTAAAATCTACATCATGAAACAAGAACTGATGTGAAATGTTTAGGTGAAATGTTTTCTTTTTTTAAATGTAAAATTCTTTGCCTGGTTGTGTCAAATCAAATTTCTGCAGCTGATTTTTAATAAGGGGATGTAAAACAAGTCTAAATCATTTAGAAACAGTATTTGCTGGATATCCCTGGTGCTTTGAGGGGGGTGAATTGTTTTGACGCAAAAAGCAAAATCTAGAGGGATCAGATTTCCCCTTAAAACATGATCTCCAGCTGCTAACATGCTACTATACAAACTACAAAGAAACTGTGCTTTAATTTAAAAAATCATGATCAACTGAACAGAAACAGAGAAATAATAATATAATTGAACTTTATTGATCTCACATTGGAGAAATCCGCTCCCCAAAACAGAAACACTGAATGTAAAACCAAACAAGCTTTTAGTAAAACCTAGCAAATAAAAAATGGCCTTATGGCTGTTTAAATGATCAAAAATCAAATTAGAAGTATATAAATAAGGAAATACATGTAGAATCAAAGACAGAGAAGGAAACTGATGACCTCTGGTGGGTCAAAGAAGTGCTACAAAAAACTAATGAAGTAATAAAAGCTAAAAATAAACTGCTCAGATAATCCACCATGGAGTAATCAGCTGTATAAATGCAAGATGTTTCAATCAAAGGATTTAATAGATTAATTTTGTTCCTGTTCAGCTCCTGTGGCGTCTGGAGATCAGCTGGTCAGTCAGGAGGCCTCCACCGAGGGATCTGTGTCCTGGAGGGTCTACCACCAGTACTGCCAGGCAGTAGGAGGTCCGACACAAACAGCAGCTTCCCGACTCATTACCATTGTTTTATCAGCTATTCTCAGGTTAATGTTTGGTAACTTGTTTCACTGCAGGATACATCATCGCCTTCCTCACCGTCCTGACTATAGTCCTCATGATCGGATCCACTGCCTTCAGCAACTGGTGGCTAAGCTACTGGCTGGAGAAGGGAGATGGGGTGAGAGTTCAGTCCGTCCCATCACACATTTTATATTTGATCTCAGTTACTACTCTCATTAGTAGGGATCATGCAACAGTCAGACATTTTCCACCTGAGGCCGATTTCTGGCCAGTGTTGTAGTACTCAAGATCGGTCTTGGTCTCAAGACCGGTCTGGAGACCATTTTTTGATGGTCTCGGTCTCGTCTCGGACTTGACCGCATTTGGTCTTGGTCTTGGTCTTGTCTCGGTCTCGGGCGCTGAGGACTCGGCAATTTATTTCAAGCCCGGTCAAGACCACAACTGTGGAAATAACGCTAATCATCAGAATATTATCAGTTTCTTTAAGATCCTTCTTTTTATTGGATGCTTGGATTCAAATCCAAGCAATAACCTGTCTCATTAGTAAATGCAGTGAAGGAGATCAATCTATTTTTTTCCAACAAATTATCTGTCTCATAACATATTTCACAACTTGGTGACAGATATAGATTTATTTAAGAAAAGTTATATAATATAGCTTTAATCTGTATATGAGAGAGAAACAAGAGAAATTATTGGCTTTTTTTCAGTTTTACACATTTTACAGAATTTTGCACATTGTTTTGAAATAGCACATTTAAAAGCAACATAAATGTATGTACTGTTCATGAACGGAAGAGAAAATCCAATTTGATCGACTTTGATTAATTGTTGAAATTCTGTGATTACTACACAGAAGTACTAAATAAAGATGTTAATGTTTAGTCCAGTTCTGTGTGTTAAATATCTAGGTGTTTTTATGTGAATGTGGGTCTTTTAGATCAATTTTTGTGATTTTGATCATGTTTCACATTTTATTGTCACATACTGGCGCTGGTCTTGGTCTTGACTTGGTCTCGACTTCCCTCGGCCTTGGTCTTGACTTGGTCTCGGACCCTAAAAGTCTTGGTCTTGACTCGGTCTCGACTTCCCTCGGCCTTGGTCTTGACTTGGTCTCGGACCCTAAAAGTCTTGGTCTTGACTCGGTCTCGACTTCCCTCGGTCTTGGTCTTGACTTGGTCTCGGACCCTAAAAGTCTTGGTCTTGACTCGGTTTCGACTTCCCTCGGTCTTTTTCTTGACTTGGTCTCGGACCCTAAAAGTCTTGGTCTTGACTCGGTCTCGACTTCCCTCGGTCTTGGTCTTGACTTGGTCTCGGACCCTAAAAGTCTTGGTCTTGACTCGGTTTCGACTTCCCTCTGTCTTTTTCTTGACTTGGTCTCGGACCCTAAAAGTCTTGGTCTTGACTCGGTCTCGACTTCCCTCGGTCTTGGTCTTGACTTGGTCTCGGACCCTAAAAGTCTTGGTCTTGTCTTGGTCTCGGGTTAGGTGGTCTTGACTGCAACACTGTTTCTGGCTTCCCTCCAAGATGTGATTCCAACATTTTTCTTCTTCAACTTATAAAGGGGGAAAATGTGCTGCAGCTATTTTGATAAAGGATATGTATCAAAGCAAGTGCATCGATGTAAATTCCAGTTTTGTTTATATCATTTTCATCGACAAAACTAGTGGAGGGTTCTTTGCTTTGATATATTTAAAAAAAAAAGTATTTAATGTTGTTAATCAGAGCCAATCAAGTATAAGTAATTAAGTCGTAATCTAATTGATCATTAACACATATTCGTTTTTTTTATATGCTTTAAAGCTTATTTTACCTAAAAAATTGAAATGTAGTTAAGAAAGTTTGCTATCTGTCTGTCTGTCTGACTATTAATTAATTACAGTTGAAAGAATAATGAATGAATGTATTAATGAAATTATTTTAGACAAACCAGTAAAAAGATTTCTATAGAGTATGGCAGCCTTTGCTTGATCATATGCCTAGTGAGCTCGTCGAGCTGTTACACAAAGGGGGATCACAGTTTGTTTTTAAACATTATGTTTGATTGTTTTTATCTTTTTTCCCTCGACTTATCATACGGATTATAGGTTTTGACCCTAATGTGTATTTGAAATTTTGTACAGGTGTTTTGCTGGACATTTCAGATTTTGTATTAGACTTGGCTGTGCTGAATTGTTGTTGTTTGTCTTGTTTCTAAAAGACAATAAAGTATTGTTAAAAAAAAAAAGTAAAAAATATAAAATAAAAAATATAAGTTCAACAATATAATTTTTCAATGCATAATTTTGTGTTTGTATTTAAAAGGAGAGTGAAGGAGTGAAGTAGTTATTACTGGGCTCCTAATATCCTACTTTTTCCTTTTAAAAGAATTCGACAGGCCACAATTTAACCTCTGATCCAGGTGATGTCTCCCAAAATCCAAACCTGGCCTTCTACCAGATGATTTATGGCGTGATGATCCTCGTCACGTTGGTCCTCGCTGTGATCAAGTGCTTCTTTTACACTCACGTCACACTAAGAGCTGCCTGCAAACTCCATGACGGCATGTTCAGAAAGGTACTGTGGAAAACTGACTAAACAGAAAATAAAATTTAACGCCAAAATTGAATAAGCTTCTTTTCTTCTTCCCAGATCCTTGCCTCTCCGATGAGTTTCTTTGACACAACGCCTACTGGACGTGTTCTTAACCGATTTGCTAAAGATCAGGAGGAGGTGGACTCTGTGCTTCCTCTCCACATGGACCCCTTCCTACAGTTTTGTCTCCTTGTCACGTTCACCATCGTCATCATCGCTTCTGTCTTCCCTGCAATGCTGGTAGCTGTGGTCATTATGGGCGCTTTGTTCTCCATCATCCTGTTGTGAGTTCTCATCAGTCAGGTCGGTGCAGGATCAGAAGGCTGTGCCGATTTAATGCAAGTCGTCATGTTCCTTCAGTATATTTCAGAGAAGCATTCGTCAGATGAAGAAGATGGAGAACATCAGCCGCTCTCCGTGCATCTCTCTCACTACCTCCACCCTGCAAGGCCTCAGCACCATCCATGCCTACAACATAAGGGACAGACACATTAAACTGTAAGACACAAACAGAAACACATGTGATGCATCTCTGACAGACATCTACTACTTTAGTTTGTAGCTCTTGAAATTTTCAGCTTTTCATTTTATTTAATTATTAATAAATTTAGTGTATTCTAGTGTGATTATTTTTTATTTATTTTTTTTACATTAGTAGAGTAATGCAGCACAACCTTTAACATACAGCCTTAGGCAGTTTAGGGGTTACCAGTGTTGGGAATGTTACTTAAAAAAGTAACTATTTATAGTAACCAGTTACTTCTCCAAAACAGTAAATGAGTTAGTAACTACACAATCAAAGTAACCACTTTTTTATTAAAGTAACTATGCAGAAAAGTAACTTTTCTGTTGAATTCAAATTATAATACAAATGAAAGTTCAATGATATTTCTTAAATTAACTCATAATACTAATTTGTACCATTTTGGTGTGTAATGGGACACGTGAGTTGCAGTATAATTTTATAGATGTGATTGTGGTTTTTGTTTATTATTAACAAATAAAGCAAATGAGATATTTTAGAACCTTATAGTTTTTGACATTTCAAGTGGCTATAAAGTAGGACGAAGGCAGAAAAATAATGCTTTTATAGCATTTTAACAAAAATGAAATATACTTTGTAATAGAATTAAAGAGGATTTACATTGCTCCAGAAAAAAAGCCCAGTAGGACTATATAATCCCAGGGATTCTGTGAAATAAAAAACAGGAGCTTTTTTAAATTAGAGATTTTTATAATTTAAGTATTTTTGGTCATTTTTCCTGCTCAAAATCAACAAAATCAGAGAAACATGTAGCTTTTGACTTTAGTGAGCCTTTCCTTAGGAACTCTGTCATTGAATCAGTGACTCTGCATTGCCTCTCTTGTGTTCAAGCTATGCTGAATAGCCGCCCACATTGCAACTCTCCAGCCAATCAGCATCATGTATGAGTAACTAAGCTCCCTGCTTTTCAATCAAGTTTATTTTTATAGCCCTTTACAATAGCCAAATTATACCCAAAGTGCTTTGCAACAAAGCCATAACACAATACATAACACATATGAAACATATAGATACAATTAAAAGTGCTGTAGTGGTTCAGCGCTGCAGGACATTAAAAGCCTTCCAGAGGTGCATAGAAAGGAGCAGACAGAAGGAGAACACCTAAGAGACAGTATTAGAATTAAATGCTAATTTAAAAAAGTGGGTCTTAAGCTTTTTTTTAAAAAAAGGCTGAGGATGTCAGGGGGTAGTTTGCTCCACAGTCTGGGAGCAGCGACGGCAAACGAACGATCGCCCCACTGTTTGAGTCGTGACCTAGGGACCTCTAACAGAAGCTGACCCGAGGAGTACAAAGCTCTGCCACAATTGCGGAAAGTTAAGATCTCAGACAAGTAAGAGGGGGCCAAGTCATGAATGGTGTTAAAGGGACACTATGCAACATTTTTCAGTTAATTAATGTGTTCCATAACGTTTTGGATGATTAAATGAGTCATTTCAGGTTGAACAAAGGTATTCTCGGCCGCCCTGGTGGTCTGTGGGGGAAATACCGCACTTGCAACTGCAGGAGCACCGACCCGCACCCACAGGCTCAGAAGTCTAGTGAGAGTCAGTCTTGCTTTACGGCGAGAACTGCTACACGCCCCCAGTTAAAAGCCTTCTCGTTGCTAGCACAGTGGCGATCTTTGTGCAGTTATGCTACGTTCACGCAGCAAAAGCAGCAAAATCGCGTCTGCTGCTTCCTTTTTGCTGCTTGTACCAGTTAGTTCTGACTCGTGGCTGAAGCAGCTTTGCTGCTCCGGCTGTGTCTGAGGCGCGTTGGGCGGAGCTTCACTATCCTTTCTCTGCCTTGCAGCTATATTTGCTGTGATCAGTGGGAATAAAGTAGTTTTAATATGTGTTTAAGTGAGAAAATACACCTGAAAACGTAATCAGTGCAGTCAGTTCATTCAGACTATTATCCTGCCTTCAATATTTTTTCTGTCGGAGCCGCTCAGACCCCCACATACCAGCGGGGCGCCGACAGTATGGATCCCTTCATCAGCAGCGGTTCACCGCGGCAGCTGGTAGGTGTTTTTCATCTAAATAATCCAAACTGCATATTCTGCCGGCAGATTTCTGCATTTTAAGTTAATTTAGGCGTCAATAAACTGTTTAAGAGGAGAGATCATCAGCGCTGTGTCTCTCTCCCTGCGTTAAACGCACCCGACGCGCTGCTTCAGCTGCTCAGGCGTGCTGCGCCTGCTGCTCAAAACGCGCCGCGGGACCTTTTGTTGCGCCTTGACGCGCGTCAACCATTGACTTTGCATGTAAACTCGCTGCTTCTGTCGCGCCAGCTACGTCCAGTGTGAACGCAGCGTTAGTCATTCGCTGCTAAGCTCAAAACAACCGCGCCTGGCTTGACGGAGAAACCAGGAGAACAGCTGTGCATATTTACGACAGTGCACTTTTACTTTCGCCCTCTGGGGGGAGCCTCACTGGAAAATCAACACCGGTTGCATAGTGTACCTTTAAAAACAAACAGCAGAAGTTTAAAACCATTTCTAAAATGGAAGCCAGTGGAGTGACGACAGCACAGGAGTTAATGTGTTCACGTCTGGACGTGCTGGTTGAAAATCGGGCAGCAGCGTTCTGCAGCTTTGCCTGCTCTGCATGCAGCAAATTCTCTCCCCATTGCAGAGACAGGGTGCACTTATGATAAGTCAATTTGTTTGATCAAGCTGAAGTATTGCACCAATTGCAAGATTGGAAGTACAATGTTGCAATGTTACCAAAAGCTAAAAAAAATCTGTTTGACACTGTTGCCGTGTAACGCCCTTTCTAGCAACACAGGGTGTTGCCATATTAATAAGTTTGAATGTGCAGGCCTAAAATCCAAACAAAATGCACTTGTTTGTGCTTTATAGTTTCTTCCAACAGAGGTGGCTTTTAACTAGCTGCATTTACTCTGTTACATTTACAGTACTTGAGTATTTTTAGAAAAAAAGTACTTTTAGGAGTAGGTATGTCACAGCTCCTCTATTAGCCATCCCGTCATGCACAGATCGGATGCCAGACAGTTGGGTTTAAAAAAAAAAAATTTACTGCAATGAATGGTAGGGAAAAACAAATACTCTGGTTAGCCTCCCCTCTGGTTCACCAACAGCACAGCTGGGGGCCGAACAGATTCTGTGGAATTGTCAGCAGTTCCCCAGTATTTATATGCCAACCAGTAGGGGGCGCCAAAAACACTCATCACAAATAATTATAAAACATATTTTAGTAGAATTTAATCTACATCTTCTAAAACCCGTAACAGGTGTACTTTAATGTAGTATTCTCCTGTGATCTTTGATCACCCTTTGACTGAACAACCTTGTGTCTCTTTTGTAAACTCTAGGTTCACATCGTTGAACGACATCAACTCCAATCATTACGTCCTGTTTCACTCCGGCACACGGTGGCTCTCTTTCTGGTTGGACTTCATGGCTGCTTCCATGACTCTTCTGGTGGCTTTGTTTGTTGTGCTCAGCAGCAATACCACCATTAATCAATCTTTAAAGGGCCTGGCCTTGTCTTACACCATACAGGTAAATCTTGACAGCCAATAGGTTCTCTCAGTTTCGAGTCCAAAGACTTGCAGCATCACTGGGTTACGTTTGTGTACCAGTTAACAGGCATGCTCCAGTATGTGGTGAGACAGTCAACTGAAGTAGAGGCCAGGTTCAATTCAGTGGAACGGCTGTTGGAATACATCACGGTTAGAAACGCCTTCATCATACTCTGAGGTGTTGAGTATTGCTTCTCTCTAAAGGGATGTTTTTTTTATTGCATGTACAGACCTGTAAGTCTGAGGCTCCCAGACACATAAAGGAAGCTCAGATCCCAGATGGCTGGCCCAAAAATGGAGCAATCACTTTCCAGGAATACAAAATGAGGTACAGAGACAACACTCCCATTGTCCTGAACGGACTTGATTTCCCCATCCGAGCTGGGGAGAAACTTGGTATAGTGGGAAGGACAGGTTCTGGTAAGTCGTCCAGAGTTAAATGGTTTCTTGTGCAATGTGTGCGTCGTTGCAGAGCCGAATTCAGCTCTCCCTACTCTGTGACTTGCGTCCGCAGGGAAATCGTCATTAGGCGTTGCTCTGTTCAGACTGGTGGAGCCAGCAAGGGGAACCATTTCTATAGACGGTGTTGATATTGCAGCCATTGGTCTGCGGGATCTACGCAGCAAACTCTCCATCATCCCTCAGGACCCTGTGCTGTTTACTGGCACAGTCAGGTACCACTTTCTCTCCCATTGGGTTTAAAGACATTCATTCTAACCACTGTGGACCAGTCAAAACTTTCCCTCCATACTTACCCGCAGGTACAACCTAGATCCCTTTGACCAATATACAGATGAGGAGATCTGGACAGTGCTTCAGAAAACCTACATGAAGGACTCGGTATGTGACTAAAGGTTTGGCCAACTCCCATTTGGAGTCAATGTAGCTACCAATGTAGACTATGTTTAATAAAAGTATTAGGTCCTGTCACCCACATCATGAACTTCAGTGTTCTAAACACTTTCATGGCAAAAAGGTGTACGGAATCAAGCCACCAGGCAAACAGACTCTTTCTACAATGTCCACTTATCACATTTCTACCCTACTAAATGTCATGATGGGATTCAGGTTTCTAACCCACATGCAGAACACAACGGAGGCAGAAGAAAAGTTTGACTGTTTATTAAAATAGACACAAAGATATATGAGTTATGCAGATAAACAGATCTGAGACTGGTCGCACAGGGTTCTCTATAAAGAGGGACAGTTAGGTTAGCCAGGTTGCTGTGGATCTTCGCCAGAGGAATTGTGCAGGTTTGTACCTGTGACGTGATTCAGGTTTGGCAGCTGAGGAAGGGAACCGGGTTGGGTCCAGAGGCTTGAAGTTGGCAGAGGGCTAAGCAGCGGCAGGACTTGACTTCAGACTTATCAGTGTTCAGATCCAGAGTCTTTCCTCCGATCCTCTTCTTGAGGGCGGGCAGGCAGGTTCAGACAGTGAGATTCTTCAGGAGAGCTCCTGAGAGCCGGCAGGCAGATTTCAACTGATGAAACTCTTCCAGAGTTCCAGGGGTTCAGTCAGGTTTCTTCCTAGGAGGCAGAGAAGACAAAAACTGATCAGGTTCAAGTTCAAAGTTTAGGGGAGTCAGAGAATCATCAGGCTGGTTGGCTCAGGCTTTGCTAACCATAACTGGCTTAACACTCTGGCGCTGGAGTGTAGTCCTGCTGCTGCTTATATGCTGGTCTCCTGATGACTGATGGATTGCAGGTGTGGTCGTCAGCTCAGCTCCAGGAGACCTAGAGGCGCCCTCTGCTGGAGGAAGGTGGACAGACCTCCAGATCCCAACACTAAATATCCCACAGCCAACTGTTATTGGGATTGAAACAAAAAAGTGATCAGAAATGGGCACATCCCAATAACAATGTGGAAGACCATGCTCAGTGCATGCAGAAAAGATTGCAAAGGTTGATCATGTCTGCTCAGACCTCCAAGCTTCATTTGACGTTCAGTTTAACTCAAGAACAGTCTATAAAAGGTTCATGTGGCCGAGCAGCTCTAAAAAGCCTTAAATCATCAAGTAGTTGCATGGAGAGGCCTTTAACCCCGGGCTCAGGACCCAATGTCCAGTAAGTTTTAGCTATTCTCCTGTCTCTGTGCACCTTCCCTAAATGAGTGGGTGATCAACAGACATCTACCGCTTCTATAGAATGTTGCATTTATTCGGGTGTGCTAAAGTACATCTAAAACATGCAGGGCAGTGGGCTATGAGGAATAGGGTTGAAAAACTCTGGTGTACAGTGTGCTGTGACTGGACTGTAGAAAAGGTGGGTTGTCTTCTCTGGATTACGGATCGTGTCTCTCTGGCTCACAATCAGATTGATGTTTGGATTTGGGAGTTTCCGTGTTAACGTAAATTGACGTAAATTGTGTAATGTTTGATTCAAAGGGGATTAGGGTTGGATGCTGTTTCCTTAGGATTTGGGTCCAGCCTATTGGGCGTCCTTCAAGTCCATATTTGTGTTTTTAATTGATCACTTTAAACACTGAAGGAAGACATTCCAGTAAAGGTTGACTCTCTTGTTTTTGCATTTTTGTTTCCACAAACTACCAAAATGTGTAAACAAAGTTTTGTTTTGCAAAAACACGTGGCAGCCACATTGGATGTTAAGGTTTCTGTTGGTTAGAACTTACCTTTTTTTACTTTTACTAATATATTTATATTTTTTGTTTTATGACAAAAAGTCCAATTCCCAGTGGATAATAATTTTAAAATGCAATAACTTGTTAATCTCATTCAGTTTGAGAACCATTGAACTAAAAAAAATTGATCCAAATGAAGCACCATGCTTTTTGGCAAGTCATTAATCAAATAAGAAGTGATGTTTTCTGGAAACCCAAGGTTGTGGGGAGGGGAGGGGGTGAAAACAGCAATGACAGCATGGATGAAGGATTCATTCAGTGTCTAGATTACAGGGCTTTGAGCACACCACCTCGAAAGATTTAGAGGTAAAGAAGCATGAGGAGTGCAATCAGAAACAAGTCTAAAAGCAAGGCCATGTGATGGAGCTGGATCAGTGGGTTTATTTCTACTACTGTGATGTCACACTGTCAGTGTTACAGAAGAAACGTGCAGCAAAGATCTGAGAGCCCCATTTTATGCTGCATTTTTTTACATGTCTGCAGATTTTGAGGCAAAATGAAGAAAAAATAAAGCGGAGGTAAAAACCAGTCGGGCTCCAGTCCTGATTTAACAACCTCAATGTGTCAAATATCTTAAAGCATGATTGGAGAGATAATAGGAAGTGTTTTTCCCAAACTAAACCATTATCAGAAAGAAGGAATCTTTTAAAATCTAAGCTTTAATAGGAATTTGTTGACGGACTAAACTGCAGGAATAAATGCAGAGCGATGGAACAACACTAACAAGACTAGACCTATAATATCAAACTTTGCAGTAACTAATATGAAAAATAAGGTTTTAAATATGACTCTTTCCTCAGATTATCAGGCTAGAGGGGAAATTAGAGGCTAAAGTGTTGGAGAATGGAGAAAACTTCTCAGTTGGCGAGAGACAACTAATGTGTATGGCTAGAGCACTTCTTCGTAACTCCAAGGTCAGTATAAACAAGCTTCCACATTCTTTTAAAAGTTTATGAGCTCATTTACCGTGAGACTTTTTATGAGAGGCCAAAAGAAAACAAGTTGGAATACATAAAAAAATATAAGTTTTTAATGGCTGCAAAATACTGTTGAATCAGAAAAGGAATTATTTATTGCATTGGAATAGAATACGACAGTCAGTTTTTGGCTTTACCTAATAATTAATATCCACAGATAGAGAATCTAAAAGAAGCAAATATGAAATTTAGCATCTTCTTTTTTAATCCGCTGTCCTTTGACTGACAGATCATCCTGCTGGACGAGGCCACAGCCTCCATCGATTCAGAGACTGACGCTCTGATCCAGAACACCATCAAAGAGGCCTTCCAGGACTGCACCATGCTCACCATCGCACATCGGATCAACACCGTGATGCACGCAGACCGCATTCTGGTCATGGATAACGGAAAGGTAACCTAGTATTAAATATACAAAGATATGCTCTACATGAGTCCAGAGCTTCCCTCATTCGGTTTTGTGTCCTTCAGGCAGCAGAGTTGGGCCCCCCAGACGTACTGAAGCAAAGACCTGAGTCCTTGTTCTCGTCGCTCCTAACTGCTGCTAACACTGTCAGCGCATAAAACCTCCAAATTTATCAAACTTACTGACTGCCTACAGTAAGTTGGCATTAACTGCAATTTGTCAGCTCAATAAATCTCTAATATGAAAAGCTGAGCCTAAATTAAGGGCTAATACGTGTTAGTACTGTTGGAAATGGTAGGTTTGACTTGTGTAATTGTGTAAATATTGACTTATTTATATCACAAAAAGCATTGCATTGATGATGTGTTTCCTTTTGTTTATGATCAGAGTGTTTGTGTGGATGTTCTATTTATTTCCAGAGCAGCGGCTTCCTGTCACTGTGCAGATGACATGTGAAAATATTGCAGCATAACACATAAAGACATGTTTTATACATTGGTTTTGATAACCAAAAGAAAAGACTTAGGTATGTGTGAAAGGACCTTCCATGTTTACTGACTGTCCACATCTATGCAACAGCGCTGCTAAGGCAAATAAATAAATGTTTTAGATATGTAACTTGGATTTTCCTTTTTTATTGTTTCTTAATTGATTTGGATTGTCTATTTTTAGGAGAGCACAACCCTCGATCCTTAACCTTTAAAAAAAAAAAAAAATGAGGGGTAAAAAGTCCTCTAGGTATGAAACACATTTCACTGTGTGATTTATCCTTGTTATAAAATCAGCTGTTGTGAAAAAGCCTTAGAGGTTTGTTGGAGGATATAAGAGATCAAACAGCATCAAAAGGACCAAGGAACACAGCAGATAAGTCAGGGAGAGCTTTTAATGTGTGGTCTGGTTATGAAACAATATCTAAAGCTTTGAACTGAAAATGAAGAACACAACTGTAGACATTACAAAGACGAGAAGAGGATGAATCAGAAAGGCAACAAAGATGCTCCTGGTAACTTTAGAAGGACTTCCCAGTTCAGCTGGGAGAATCTCTCTGTACCATAAGTTATGCTTTGACACAAAAAAACGTGATCTTTATGGAAGAGCTGTGAGAAGATGGACACAAGATGTCCTGTTTTAATTTGGCAACAAGCCTGCTCAGGTCACATGAGACCAAATTGTTCTTAAAGGAATAGTACACCCAAAACATGATTAGCCTTCATTTTCTACTCACCCCCATGCTGAACAACACTCTGGAGTACTTTTTTGATATCTCAAATGCATCTGGAGATCTGGGAGGCTTCTTGCTGTCTGCTGACATTCAAATAATGGAGGTCTATGGTGCCCGAGGCAGAAAGGTCCATAAAAGTCCACAAAAAACGTGTCAATATTCCTCCATACTGCTCGTCCAATGTATTCCAAGTGTCCTGAGTGGGTAGCGTCCAGAATTTACTCGAAACGAAGTCATTTAGAATGTTTTTAGAGCATAAACAGTAGTGTATAGGATTTCCTAAAAGCGCGTTCACTACGCTAAGGAAGCCGGCAGACCAAACCAGATGAAAGTGCGCATTGACACGTTTTTTGTGGACTTTTATGGACCTTTCTGCCTCGGGCGCCATAGACCTCCATTATTTGAATGTCAGCAGACAGCAAGAAGCCTCCCAGATCTCCAGATGCATTTGAGATATCAAAAAAGTACTCCAGAGTGTTGTTCAGCATGGGGGTGAGTAGAAAATGAAGGCTAATCATGTTTTGGGTGTACTATTCCTTTAGCAAAAAGGAAAAGAAAAGAAGAAAAATGCAAAGAGTTTACCTATATAAAACTTATAGAAACACCCCTTAATAGTAAGAAGTGTAAAGTTACTCTAAAAAGTGAGATAAATTCAATTCAATTCAATTGAGACTATTTCTATAGCGCCAATTCACAACACATGTCATCTCAAGGCACTTTACAGTTCAACCAGATCATCCAGTAAGATTGATTCAAAGTTTTCTATCTAAGGAAAACCAGTTGATTGCATCGACTCATTGACTCGAATGCAATCCCTCACAATATGGATGCTTGTAGCGACAGGCGAGAGGAAAAACTCCCTTTGAACAGGAAGGAACCTCCAGCTGAACCAGGCTCAGTGTGAGCGGCCATCTGCTGAGGCCGACTGGGGTTCAAGGAGACAGAAGCAGAGACACAAAAAGCAGCTGTAAAAGGCGGCCCCGTCCAGGAAACACACAGCCAGGCAGACGAGCTCCAAGGCAGCTCCCATGCCAGAGGACGAAGAGAGCACATCCAGTTAGTCACAGTCAGAGAAACAGGACTACACTGGAAAACAGGCCGATCTCCAACATCTATAAACAAAGGTGTTGATGGAAGCAGCACAACTGATATTTCTCTCCAGGATGGAGTCACAGCCAAACAGGAACAGACCAGATGAAGCTACTATGATTGAACTAACAGATTCTGCAGAGTGGGAGAATAGAGATAGAATGAAGCAGAATGATGAAAAAGGGGTCCCTATGTCCTCCAGCATCCTAAGCCTAAAGCAGCATAACTATAGAGATAGCTCAGGATAACCTGAGCCACTCTAACTATCAGCTTTATCATACATAAGGAACAGAGAGATCTGATATCAGATGGAGCTTGGCCATTTAAGGCTTTATATGTGAGGAGAAGGATTTTAAATTCTTTCCTGAATTTAACAGGAAGCCAATGAAGAGAAGCCAGGATAGGAGAGATATCAACTCTCTTTTTAAGTTTTATCAGAACTCTGGCTGCAGCATTTTGGATCAGCTGAAGGCTTTTAACTACAGTTTGTGGACTTCCTGATAGTAAAGAATTACAATAGTCCAACCCTGAAGTAACAAATGCAAATAATAATAATACAAAAACCATATCTACCTTCAGGTGATGCTTCACTTTGTGTTGGACTTTCAAACCAAATTCTAATAAAAAGTATTAAAAGGTTTTTGCTGCAGCGTAACTAAATTCAGACCTTGAGGTGGTGTAAATATTTTTGAGAGGCAGTGAGTTTATGAACAAAGGGTCATTATGCCGCTGAGCAACAAATATGAAAGAGATCTGCAGTATTCGCATTTCTAAAACAAATAAGCAAGCAGATTGCATTAAAATCCCTTCAGTTATTCAAATCAGGTCTTTTTATTCCACTGAATTTACTTAAATAACTTTTTTAATTAAATGCTTTTCCTTACTTTAGTACAATATTATAATTTATCAGCACTGCAACTTAAGTAATTTTTTTTGACTGATCTAACCGATAAAAGTAACATTGATTAATAAAAAATAGTTTTTTTTGGCCAAAAATGCCCCTGAGAGACACACACACAATTTATGTTATATTTAGACTTAGACAGACAAAGCTCCAACAACTTTAAACAAAGGTGTTGATGGCAGCAGAACAGCTGATGTTTCTCTCCAGGATGGAATCACAGCGAAATATGAACAGACCAGATGAAGCTACTATGAGAAAAAGCAGAGATAGCATACAGTAGAGTTAGATGTTTAAAAATACTGCAGTAGAAAAATCGAGATAGAATGAAGCAGAATGATGAAATAGGGGTCCCTATGTCCTCCAGCAGTCTAGGCCTATAGCAGCATAACTATAGTGATAGCTCAGGATAACCTGAGCCACTCTAACTAGAAGCTTTATCAAAAAGGAAAGTTTTAAGCCTAGCCTTAAAAGTAGACAGGGTGTCTGCCTCACGGACTAAAACTGGTAGTTGGTTCCACAGGAGAGGAGCCTGTTAGGTTTATGCTTTATACATTAAGTGCATTGTTACTTTGCTAGCCAGATTAGAGAGAGTAGATGGCCTTTCTTCACATTGTGGATGTCACTGTGTGTATGGAATCAGGACAGCCTTCATGTCTTTAAAAATACACAGGATATGGGAACATCTTGGAGCCGGACTGGTAGAGGGGCGCTATCTGTAATCCTTGGGCATGGATGACGTGTCAGTTTCTGATACAGACAACTAAGCATCCACCTGGTGCAACACATAGACTCATGAGCTATAAGAAGGAGAAGATGACCTTGTTCGGGGCTTAATCTTTGCCAGACGCTTGCGGACGTGATTTTTGAGCCCACAGCTGTGCAAGCTCCAAGCATTTTCTCTGTCCTGTTACGACCTGATCTGGAATAAACTCTGTTACTTTTTTACTCCTGTTTTATAGTCCTTTTTACATGTTATTACCCAGTTTGAGTTAAGAGTAGCGAATAACTTGCTCCCAGGAAAAGAACCGTGAGGAAGACCCCAAGGTGCAACGGCTTTTTTTTAGGGGACATAACTTCCTAATTTTAAGAAGCCTGATAACTAAAAGATCTGCCTCCCATTCTATTTTTAGAAATTCTAGGAACCACTAGTTAAGCTGCAGATTGAGAGTGATGTGCTCTGTTTTAGATTATATTCAACACAAGCTTTGTTGTTTTACAGTTTGTTTTTATCTGATAAAATAATGGAACACAGTTCAATGTACACACTCATTTTTCTGACACGCTTAATCCCAAGTGGGGTGGCGAGGGGTGCTGGTGCCTATCTCCAGCTGTCTACGGGCGAGAGGTTGGGTACATCCTGGACAGGTTGCCAGTCCATAGCAGGGTAACACAGAGACAGACAGGACAAACAACCATTCACACACACACTCAGCCCTAAGGAGAGTTTAGAGAAGCCAACTAATTGGTCATGTTTTTTGGACTGTGGGAGGAAGCCAGAGTACCTAGAGAAAACCCAGGCTTGCGCAGGGAGACCATGCAAACTCCATGCAGAAACACCCCAGGCTGGGAATCGACCTTTGTGCTGCAGGGCAGCAGGGCTACCCACTGGTCCACTGAGGATTAATCCACACCACAAAATCAATACATTTAGTTGTTCTGTTTGCTTCCATGACTGCCTGCTGGTTTAAAGAAACTGGATCCACCAGAACTGAGGTCCTGACCTTAACCTTATAAAATACCGTTGGGATGAACCAGAGCTGAGCATTAAGTTCTGGTTGGTAGATCTAACTATAAAGTCCCCAACAAATGTTCCAGTAAATTTTTACAGGACAGTTAAGGCTGCTTTTGCTGCGAGTAAATTTCCATTAACAAATTTAACCATAAAGATGGAGGATAGGATTTTTTTTAAACTTTATATACATATACTGTAAACAATGTCCAAATAATTTTGGGAGTATATTGAAAACACTAAGCATAAGTATTGGTAAAAAAAAAAAAAGACAGATTAGGAAATAGTTTTTTTCACATCTGAATGGATTTCTTTAAGTATTTTATTTTCTTAAATTTTGTATACCTATATTCCTATATTTCTGATTACTTGAGTAGCCTTATTACTGAATACATTTTACTCTTACTTGAGTAATTTCTTCGTTCTTAATTTAATTAGTTGTGCAACTTTTACATGAGTACATCCTTTGACTACTCTACTCACTGCTGCTTACACATGTATTCCTAAACAGAAATTCTGATGGTCAGTAGATTTGAGGGTATTAGGTTTTATATTTTAAATCCACCCTTGTAAAAACTCAGTAATATAATTAAACAAAATCTCTGTTATTCTAGTTTCCATAAAAAAGGAAAAAGAAAGAAAGAAAGAGGAAAATAGGGCCACAAGATGGCGCT